GAAGTTTTGGTTCAAGGGGAAAGAGTTCTGTTACTTAGGAGGAAAGATTTCCTCAGTGTTCATAAAATATGCATTAAACTGGGAAAAATATGTCGCCTTAATGCACTTTTTAAAAAGCATTTTCCATTTTACCAAGCATGTTATTTTACAGCAGACTTCAAATGACCAAACACCTGCCATGAGTCTGACCACCAAAGACATAAAATCTATGATGCATTTTTAACAGGACACTATATATATATATGCTGTGTTACTGTAAATGGATTTTGTTTTCTGTATACTTCTCGTCATATCTTAAGTTCAGTCTGTGTTATTACTGTTTTCTCCGAGACAAGGAGTGAGTGCTATCGCTTTATCCACAGTTTCCTGGATGGCTGCATTAATTTGATTGACTCAAGATCTATGGTGACTTCTAAAGAAGATTAAATTACACATTCCCTCTTGCCCATGTGCCGCTTGAGATTACATCCAGCAATTTCTCAAAGAGAAGCAATTAGGTGACTACAAATTTAATAAACCCTAATTATTTTGTTTGTACAAACAATAAAGCCAAAATTATTTGTGCAGCAAGGAACTGTAATTACTTTGAAAAAAAAATCGAACAGTGCTACCTAACCTCAGAAATAACAAGTTTTGGATTTCCTATTTATTCTAAAAATGCTCATGGAATATTTTCAGTTGGCTGGGAGCCAAACTTTGAAGGTAACATTTATCATCATTATTGTTTAGTATTTGCTCTATAATGTCCCAATGTGCTAGGTAAACTACAGACACAAATACACACATGTTACCCCATCACAGGCACCTGCCAAAAACTCACAGCCGCTGATACAATTTCCTGCAAATGCTTTTTGGGTTTTTTTTTGGTTCGTCTATAAGATATCACTCTTAAAGAGATCATTATCCCACAGTGTTCATCCTGGGGGAAGGTCTAGCAAGGGGCATGTCCTCAGTAGACAAGAAGAATGAGAGAGGGAGTGAGTAGAAAGAAGCACATTAATATAAATGGAAGAAAGAAAAGGAGTACTTGTGGCACCTTAGAGACTAACCAATTTATTTGCGCATAAGCTTATAAATTGGTTCGTCTCTAAGGTGCCACAAGTACTCCTTTTCTTTTTGCGAACACAGACTAACACGGCTGCTACTCTGAAACCTGTCATAAATGGAAGAGGCTCTGACAACATTCAGCCATGCAGCGAGGCAATGGAATGGAAGCAGAATGACATGGAATGAGACTGGCAGCATCTGTGCCCTTCTATCCCCCACCCCAAACTATTAAAACACGGAAGAGGAAATGAGAATCACCAGGAAAAACACGTCACGGAAGCAAAAGATCAACTCAGCACCTGACATCGTGCCCCTGCTGCTGCTTCTATAAGGCTCCACATGGAAGAGGGATGGCACAAATCATCCAAGATGAAATTCACCCCCTGAGCAGAGGATCAGCACATGGCCTAGACACCGTTCAAGTCCCCCAAACCGGGGTCTGCTCCTACTGCACATATGCTGAGGGGAGTGGATTTTACAAGTTATGAGGTGATTCAGCCCTTTCCCATGAGTGGTGCACTATTTCAGGTACAAGTTAATTAACATAGGGCATTATTAGTCATTCACCCAGAGAATTTTCATTTGCTGCAGTTTTGAAGGGATGCAACTGACATAAAACGTATATTTAAAAATCCTTCACTCAGCTACTAACAACATCATAGATTATTTAACCTGAATTTTAAAAAACTACTACAAATATTTTAAAACTCTCATTTGCACCTCCCCATTTATGCTTTTTGTCCTTCTCCCAGCTCAGATAGCACTGAGACCAGACTGGTCAATGTCACTTTCTAATTCTCATGAGTTAGGCCCCATGCTGTTATGCCAGGGGATGTTTAACTCATAGATGTATTTCTAGTCATAATGGACCCAATTCTGCTTTCAGTGGCAGCAATATGAATCTGGGATAACTCCATTGAGGTGCATGGACCATCACTGGTGTACACTGGCGGGTATAAATGACAGCAGCATCTGGATCATTAGCATTTCTAAATCACCTGGCACCTAGAACTGCCTGACAATGTTCTTTTAGGTGGAAAGGGAACTATTGTATTCTCGCCCACAACGTGTTCTCATTTCATCCGATGAAGTGAGCTGTAGCTCACGAAAGCTTATGCTCAAATAAATTGGTTAGTCGCTAAGGTGCCACAAGTACTCCTTTTCTTTTTTCATTCTTCTTCTGAATTTCTTTGTCTCTCCCCCTTTGCACTGGGTAGTTGTTCAGAAGTCAGGGAAGGGCTTCAGTACTCCTTGGCACGGATGACTTGCCTAGTGTGGGCCTAACTGATACTAACCGGCCAATATTTCATGCAGGTATCATCGGAAATGACCTGTGTATCTGGACATGGCTCAAGAGGATGAGAGAGACTGAGTACCAGCCAACTTTAAGGTGCTGTGCTGAAGTCAAGGATGGAATCTCACTGCTCAATGGAGATACAACAGAGCCACAAGCATTTTCCGCTACACGCAACTCTGACCAAGGGAGCCATATTAAAAAAAAAAGTCCTTGATCGGTTTTTTGAATTTTCCCTTTAGGGTCATTACCAAGGAAAAGTAGTTTTACTCAATGTCTGACAGCTTCTACAGCAGGAATTAAGATGACACATTGTTTTCCTAGTCTGATCAGGAACTTAAGGGAAGATTCTTGCCACTTGAGCTATCATGCTGAAAAAACATCCAGTGATCTTGCTATTTGGTTCACTACACCCAATGCCTAGTGCTGAGCTGCAGGTGCAATAACGTAAAGGCTTTGGGGGTTACCATGAGGGTTCAAGATTGGCCAGAATTATTCAAGAGAGGTGTGGGTATCACAATGCACATACTAGTACTTCACCAGGATAAGAACTGGGTAGGGCTTTACCGCATCTTTGGTACACCTGGGGAATAGCCTTGCTGCATTGGGAAGCCTTGGCATGGGGAGGACTCAGGGATGACAAGATCAGGTGTGCATAACAAGGGGACTTAATGCCAGGTGTGAGTGTTTAGCATCCCTTAACAGGAGTGAGATGTGGTTCTCAGGGGGAGAGATCAAGAGTTATTTGTGTGGTGATATAATCACAAAACTCATTATCCATTCATTTAACTTTGCATTGTGTAAATAAAGTCTCAATCTATACAATCTAATAACATGGCAGATGAGATGATGTAAAGTGGGAGCCAACTTTATGAACCAAGCAAATGCTGGTAGAGATAAAGGGCTTGATTCAATCCAATTAAGGGAAATGGAAAGACTCAAGATCAGGCTCCAAAAGAAGAACTGTTCCTGAACTTTAATCAAAAGCTGGTGTTTTCTTCTTTTCTTTCAAGCCTATCCCTTTTTGTCTTTTCTACTGTCTCTGCTCTTTGTTGTTTCAGCCTTTTATGTGAGTCCCAAGAGAAATTCCTTCACAGAATGCTGCACAGAATCAGGGCTTAGTCTAATAGCATTAGGCATATTACCTTACTTTACCTACAATTCTTCACTTGAAGGGACATGGACTGGATGAGCTAAATTAAAATTTCAAAATGTGAATTAGGAACCTGTAACACACTGTACCCCACAGTAGCACCCAGTAACCCCCATATACATCATTCATATATGGGTGTGTTGTTTCATACAAAGCATGCCATGTAAGATATCTGCTGAGACCCATTGTTCTGTCAAAATATGTATATTGTTAGTGTGTATGAAGTTATGAGATTCTGTTAGATGGTTGTTATTGAAATATGTTGTGAGTTTGGGAGTCGCCCACTGACAGTTCTCCAGTAACAACAAAGGAGGTGACCAATACCCAGGCCAGCCTTAAACAACCATTAATCAGCAGGGGACTTGTAAGCAAGGGATTTACAATTCTGTACAAGGTTGTGCAAGCACTAGACAATGTGATTCATTTACACAAAACTACACCAGGGGGAATACTCAATTCTGGGACTCCGCAAAGCCCACCAGGCTAGTGTTGACTTCCAATGAGATTTAGGCTCCTAAGGGCTAGATCTACAAAGGAGACTTAGGCTCAGCATTGCAATGCATAACATTTAGGCATCCCACTCCCTATTGGAATCCACAGCACCAAGTTAGGTGCCCAGACTCCCCATATAATGCACAGGGACAGATAGGCACCTAAGAACAGGATTCATAAAAGCCAGCACACACTGAGTGGAGAGCCACCTAACACAGCCAGTAGAGAATGCTGAGGAGAGGATGTAAGCTCCCAAATTATTATTAATTATTATTAGGCACTTTCAAAAATGTTCACCCTCATCTACACAGGAGATGGACAGACATCCAGTTCCTATGCTTCTGTGATGGCAGGATAGTCCAAGGGCAATACCCTTAAAAAGGAAACTGCTTCTCCTTTTTAAACTTGGAATATTTCTCAACCTCTTTACCACTGTGGGCCGCATATGCAGCTCTCCTCTATGTGTTATGTGGGATGCATCCACACAATATATATATATAACCTGTATGGCCCTGAGGATGTCACGTGGGCTGCAACTATGTGCTAAGTGGGCCGCAAGCGGCCCGCAGGTTAAAAACCACTGGTCTACACTATAGCTTCTACAGCAGGTCAGCTACAGCTGCATCTGTGTCACTTACAACCGAAGTATAGCCTATACCAGTGGAATGGATTTTTCTGTTGAAGTAGTTAACCCAACTCTGCAGGAATTCTTCTATCGACCTAGCCTCATCTCAACTGGGGGTTAGGTCAACCTAGTTATGGTGCTCAGGGTGCAAAAAAAAAAAAGAAAGAAAAATGTTAGAGCCCTGAACGACGGAGCTAGGTTGATCTAATTTTTAAATGTACCCCGGGCCTTGTAGAAGAGCAGCTTCCTTATTAAGGTACTTTACATAGACACTTATCCTAAGGCATCCAACTCTTTCAAGAACCTTAAAAAAAATCTCATTTAAAAGTAATTACCTGTGAAACCTCTAATCTAACATTTCTGAGTTTAATGATTGGAAAATTTTGTACCTTTCTGAATCCATCAGGTTCTTCCAAAGATCTAGGAGTCTGTTTAAAAAAAAGAAAAAAGAAAAATATAAACACAAACACAAAATACCATGAAACTGAGATCCCAGTGGAACCTATAATGGAATATTCATTTCACAGGGGGAACGTTTCTTTCAAATTTCTGGTCATCTGGATAGGCTGAAACAGCAGGTGATTGGTGTTTAATGAGCTTTTTAATGCACAACAGAAATAAAGCCCAAATGGATTTTGTTTCCTAACAATGTAAGTTAGATGCAGTGTTACCTAAGAAATAGCTTTGATTTTACTGACACCTATTGACTAAATGTATTCTTACACAAGGTACTTGGGCAAAAAATGTACCACACAATAACTCTGATTTTACACTATTTCTGATTAACAGAGACTGCCCTTCACCTCCACTGCAAATCAAAGGATTTGTGTTCTAAATAAATACTTTCAATTTGAAACTCATTGACAGCTTCTTTGAAGACTAGCGGAGAAGGACTCAAACTACAGATTTTCTCCCACACCTTACAGCCAAGGTTTTCTAAAATATTGAGTCATTTTAGGTGGCTCATTTTTCAGGTGCCCAAGTTACAATACTTTAAAGAGGATTTATTGCCAAAAGTGCCAGGTACCCACAATCTAAAAACCAGGCCTCAAAGTTTGGCACCCAGAATCACTAGTCACTTTGGAAAATCAGGACTTAACTATGCAAATTTATGTTAAACTAACTGTAAATATCTTTATCATTATTTGCAATATTTGTTATTGGATAAACTCCATCTTCTTTACAATGCTTTCACATACAACTCTCTGATATAAAACTTTATGTTTACCCAGACTTATACTTTGGTCCTTACATTAAAATCAATTACAATTGTCTATGACATCAGCTCTTTATACCATTCCAAATGCTAAGCCCATGAAGTGAATGTGATAAAGAAACTGGCGCCTTTTGTAGTTTCTTTCTGAGATAATCTGTTCTGTTCTTGACTATACTGATCACATTGACTCACAGAGCACCACAGAACAGAAGACAATTACACAAATAAAGTTATGTGGGCATATAACCTTGTTACAGTAATTGTGCAAAAGAACATTCTGTGGGGGAGAGAAGGAGCAGGCGGGGGAAGGGAAGGAAGCCCCTGATTGGGATTGCCTCATTACATGTCTAAGAGAAAGTTATATATTACACACACACATACCAACTACATGGTATAAAGGCCCAGGGACTAGAACCCAGGTCTCTAGAATGTAGGGGAGTTGATATTCCCACAGTACCCCTGGGAGGCAATATGGAGGCATTGCCAGGGAGAGTGGAGAGTAGGTGCCTCAGGAAATACAACCCAAGAGACCCAGAGTGACAGTACCCTGCAGCCCTCTGTTTGGCCAAGTGCCCCTACTTAACCCCAGTAGTTGCCCCAGGAAGTTGTCTGGGCAACTACACAGATTTCAGTGTGCTGCAATGCCAGACTTCGCCTCTACTCCTGATATCTGATCTCTGACTCCAGCCTGACTTCAACCCTCAGTTCTGCCTCTGATCTCCAGTCTCCGACCCTGGCCTGACTCTGACCCTGACACTTGTGTATGAGATCTAGCCTTGCAATTCCTCCAACTCCAGCTCAGCGACTCCTGTCCCTGGTGGGCAGATTCAGCCCAGCTGAGACCACTAGGCAAGACCATCTATGCCCCAGTCCCTTACACAATATCATGTTAGATGATATCACTATTGGGCCAAATCTGAAGTCTTTACTCAAGGAAAAGTAATGAGCATTGCTTGTGTGGAGACAAAGAGGCCACAGGATTTCTAATTCAATATTGAAAGTGCGTGTATATATAAATATATTCAATTGACTTCAGTGGGATTACCTATACACTGAAAGTTAAGCACCTGTTTATGTCCTTACTGGATTGGGACTATAGCTGTCAAAAAGCAGTGGTTACTTAAAAGAATTATGGAAAAGTACTACAGTGTATTTAATACTAACACCTCTGATGCCCATTCACCTACCAATGAGCTGCTGGAGTTTTTGAGTTTAGATTTATAGAGCATCCATTGATAACGCAGGTCCTCCACGTCTTCAGAGGTCCCGACAACTGTCTGAAGACTAAGGAGATCTTCAAAAAGACACTGCCCCTCAGGAACACGAGACTGTAGCTCCTTCAGGGAAAGACAAGGTTATCAGCAACATGGCATTTAAAGGAATCGCTGCCTTGCCAACACTAGAGATTCAGTCATTTAAAAGGACATTAGCATTGCATCCAGTTGGTGGGAACTCTGCATTTATGTTTATGCATTTATTTTTATTTTGCCATCACATATTCATGTAGGATGGTCTACATCTGCAGGATTTCTCTTAACTGAGGATTTTTATTGTTAGGTTTCCTCTTATAGTTGTCATTGTTGGTGGATTTTATTGTATTGATTATAAGTATTAAAATGCTGAGGATAAAAAATAAAAGACAGATTTTAGCCAGAAATGTTAAAATATCTGTGCCAAACAAGGTTGTTTGTGACATGGAAAAATGTCTTACGCAAATGTTGTAGTATGACTCTGACCTTTCCATTGCAGCGTGGGGGCCCTTACACATCTCCCCTCTCCCCTTCCAGACCCACCTATCCTGTGAGTTTTATAGCAGGGAGATGTGATATGGCCCTGGATGCTGATTTTAGCTTTTAAATAATTTGAAAGGCTCCTGGCCACATTTCAGCCTCTGTACTGTGGAGGAGGATGAATGTCTTGGGAAAGAAGAACATCAAGCTGGAATGGAGGGAAAAGTTGGGAGCCCCATTCCAGATGATATCACGGTATCCTCTTGCACTGACGATACCCCTACGGGGGAGGGAATCCCAGTTGTTAGGCACAAACAGATAATAGTAACCAGGGATTCAGCTATTAGAAATATACATAGTTGGTTTGTGATGACCAGGACAGCCACATGGTGAATTGCCTGGAAGGTACAAAGCTTGCGAACCTCTTGAGACATCTAGATAGACATAAGTGCAGTGCTGGGGAGGAGTGGTAGTTATGGTATATGTGCTGTATGTATATATATATACCAATGGCATAGGGAAACATAATAGAGAGGTCCTAGAGGCCATATTTAGGCTGCTAGGTAAGAAATTAAAGTCCAGGACCTCCATGGTAGCATTCTCTGAAATGCTTCCAGTTCCACAGGCAAAACTGCAGGGTCTGAATGTATGGATGAGATGATGTGTTGGGAGAAGCAATTTAGGTTTATTAGGAACTGGGGGATCTTCTGTGAAAGGAGGAGCCTACACAGGAAGAACGGGCTCCACCTAAACCATAACAGAACTAGACTGTTAGCATGTAAAATTAAAAAGATCATAGAGGAGTTTTTAAACTTAGAGATGGGGGACAGCTGAAAGCTGTGGAGAAGCACACAGTTCAGACAGGGGACAGGCAATACAATCCTTAGGAGAGGATTGATTAAAGAGCATACTTCTATATCCTAGTAAAGAGGAGAGGATAGAAAGTGATAAAGTAGAGGTAGGAACTGAAGAAAAACAGTCAAATGAAAAAGAGTCCCATTCAATTGAATCACATGAAGGCAGACAACTAAATATTGACAAACTTTATAAGTGTTTGTATACAAATGCTATAAGTCTAAATGCTAAAATGGGAGAACTTGAGTGACTGGCATTAAATGAAGATACTGATATGAAAGACATCACAGAAACTTGGTAGAACAATGATAATCAATGGGACATGGTAATACCAGAGTACAAAATATATAGGAAAGACAGAATAGGTAGTACTGGTAGGAGAGTGATACTATATGTGAAAGAAAGCATAGAGACAAATATAGTACAAATCTTAAATGAATCAAACTGTATCTTAGAAAATGGTACCTTAGAAATTCGAAGCTTGATTAACAAGAGTTTAGCAGTAGGAATATACTACTGACTAACTGACCAGGATGGTGGTGACTGTGAAATGCTCAGGGAGATTAGAGAGGCTACAAAAACAGATAGCCCAATAATTATGGGGGATTTCAACTATCCCTATATTGACTGCGTACATGTCACCTCAAGACAGGATTCACAGATAAAATTTCTAGGCACCATTAATGACTGCTTCTTGTAGCAGCTAGTCCTGGAACCCACAAGGGGAGAGGCAATTGTTGAATTAGTCCTAAGTGGTGCACAGGATCTGGTCCAAGAGGTGAACATAGCTGAACCACTCAGTAAAATCAACAATAATATACTTAAACTTAACATCCTTGTAAAGGGCAAAATACAAAAGAAACCTACCACTGTAGCATTTAACTTCAAAAAGGGGGACTACACAAAAACGAGGACGCAAGTTAAACGGAAATTAAAAGGAACAATCACAAGAGTAAAATGCCTATAAGCTACATGGAAACTATTTTAAAACACCATAATAGAGGCTCAAACTACATGTAAACCCCACATGAAAAAAAATAGAAAGAGGACCAAACAAATGCCACCATTGCTAAACAGTAGACTAAAACAGAGGTGAGAGGCAAAAGGGCATCCTTCAAAAATTCGAGGCAAATAGACAGGACAATAAAGAGCATAAGCATGTCAAGTGTAAAAATATAATTAGGCAAGCCAAAAAAGAATTTGAAGAGCAACCAGCAAAAGACACAGAAACTAACAGCAAAATTTTTAAACTACATCAGAAGCAGGAAGCATGTCAACAGATGATCGAGGTGCTAAAGAAGCATCAAGAAAGACAAAGTCATCACACAGAAGCTGAATTAATTATTTGAATCGGTAGTTTGAGCCTCTATTATGGTGTTTTAAAATAGTTTCAATGTAGCTTGCGGGCATTTCACTCTTGTGACTGTTCCTTTTAATTTCCATTTAACTAGCTTCCTTGCTTTTGTGCAGTTCCCCTTTTTGAAGTTAAATGTGAGAGAAATTCCCACATGTGAGCTATTCTGTTTAGGTGACAAGTCTGAGGAACTACCCCAGACTGAGGTGTGAATAGAGAAAGTTTTAGAACTCATAAATTAAACAGTAATATGTCATCAAGACCAGATGGTGTTCACCCAAAAGTTCTGAAGGAACTCAAATATGAAATTGCAGAATTACTATCTGAAATATATAATTTTTTGCTTAAATCAGCCTCTGTATCAGATGACTGGCAGATAGTTATTTTTTAAAAAGACACCAGAGGTGATCCTGGCAATTACAGGCTGCTAAACCCAATTTCAGTACCAGGCAGACTGGTTGAAACTACAGAAAAGAACAGAATGATCAGACACATACATGAAGACAATATGTTAGGAAAGAGTCAACACAGCTTTTGTAAAGGGAAATCATGCCTCACCAATCTATTAGATTTCTTTGAGGAGGTCAAACATGTGGAGAAAGGTGATCCACTGGATATAGTGTACTGGGACTTTCAGAAAGTCTTTGACAAGGTCCCTCACGAAAGAGTCTTAAGCAAAGTAAGGAGTCATGGGATAAGAGGGAAGGTCCACTCAAGTACCAGTAACTGGTTAAAAGACAGGAAACAAATGGTAAGAATAAATGGTCACTTTTCAAATGGAATGCAGTAAACAGTGAGATCCCTCCAGGATTTGTGCACAGTACAACATATTCATAAATGATCTGTAAACAGGAGTTCTGGAACAATTTTTATAGCGGGGGTTCCGAGAGCCATTGAACCAAACTCTAAACCCTCTATATAACGAAAGCCACTTCAAGTCAGGGCATGCTGCAGCACCTATGCCTGTAAAAGGGTCAGGCAAAATCTGCAGATACTAAATTACTGAAGACAGTTAAGTTCATAGCTGACTGCGAAGAGTTCCAAAGGGATCTCACTAAACTGGGAGACTGGGCAACAAAATAGAAAGATGAAATTCAATGCTGACAAGCGCAATATAATGAACACTGGAAAAGATAATCCCAACTATACATACAAAATAATGGGGTCTCAATTAGCTGTTACCACTCAAGAAAGAGATCTTGGAGTCACTGTGGTTACTTCTCCGAAAACATCAACTCAATGTGCAGTGGTTGTCAAAAAAGCTAACACAATGTTAGGAACCATTAGGAAAGGGATGGATAATAGAAGTCAGAAAATATCATAATGCCACTGTATAAATTCATGGTATGACCATCCTTTGAATACTGAATGCAGTTCTGGTTGCCCCATCTCACAAAAGATATTAGAATTGGAACAAAATACAGAGAAGGGCAACAAAAGTGATCAGGGGTATGGAACAAATTCCCTATGAGGAGAGATTAAAAAGACTGGGACTGCTCATCTTAGAAAAGAGATGACTGAGGGAGGACATGATAGAGGTCTATAAAATCATGAATGTGTGGTGAAAGTGAATAGGGAAGTGTTATTTACCCCTTCATATAACACAAGAACTAGGGGTCACCCAATGAAATTAATAGGCAGCAGGTTTAAAACAAACATAAGAAAGTACTTCTTCCCACAACACACAGTCTACCTGTGGAACTTGCTGCCAGGGGATCTTGTGAAGACCAAAGGTATAACTAGGTTAAAAAAATAATTAGATAAGTTCATGGAGGATAGGTCCATTAATGCCCATTAGCTAAGATACTCAGGGATGGAACCCCATGCTGCCCGTGTCCGTAAACCTCTGAATACCAGAAGTTGGGAATGGATGACAGGTGATGGATCTCTTGATAATTGCCCGGTTCTGTTCATTCCCTCTGAAGCATCTGGCACTGGCCACTGTGAGAAGACTGGATACTAAGCTAGATAGACCATTGATATTACCCAGGATGGCCATTCTTAAGTTCATCTCCCAACATAATTCCCTACACTCAGAAAATTAATGTTTGAAAACCAACCTTCAGCTTGCTCTGTATTGCTTTAACTTCTTCACAACTGGAGGGTTTCGTGACAAGAATCTTGCTCAGTTTGGCATTTTCTACATGTAACCACTGTTCAAAGTCCTTCATGAGTTTAAGGAGGTGACTGTTCTCTTCCTCTTTGCTCACATTTGCCTGAGTCACAGAACAAAACCCAAAAAGGAATTTATAAAAAAGGAAACAGACTTTATTATTACTGCCTTCAGTCACCAACAGCCTGATCATGTTCCTGCTGAATTCCCATTGAGGGGCATCACCAGGGTCCAGGTCTGGTCTCTCCTGTCTCATCTTAACTGAGGCCAATTCTACAAAGTGCTGAGTTCCTCCTGAGAGGTGCTGTGCACCCTCACCTTCCACTGAAGTCTCGAGTCCCACAGGCTCTCAATATAAGGAAGAACTTTAGGTCTGGATTTCCTATGTAGACAAAATCCTCTACGATTTTCATAGGAGTTATGCATGTAGAAGGACAAAATAATTGGAAATGGAGGAGGAGGCACCATCCATCTGTGATTCAAGTTATAATTAACTGGTCACAGGAAGGAGATGTCGGGCCAAGTCCTCAGATGGCGTAAACCATCTGCACTGGAGCTATGCTGATTTACACCATCTGGGAATCTGGCCCTGGGTTTGCGCTACTAAAATTTGACAGTGGAATGAGGAATTTAGCAAAACACAGAAGGCTCCATGTGTTTTTTTCTAACTCTCTGCCTGGCATAATGGTACTATTTACAAGGGTCTCTACTATAACACATACCGTTTCATATCCAAAACAGTACATGTGAGTTTGGCTAAGTGACTTCCACTGATTTGTATGGGAGTCATGAAGCTATGCTCCTACATCAATCTTTCCAAATTGAAGATGTCGGATGTGCTTTCTAATGACCCAGTAAGGATCAGAGCCTTGAACCCCACATTTCAGATGTTTGCTGGACTTTGCAAATTGGAGAGTTTTACATACGGTATCAGACAGAGCCCAGGGGAAATGGGCTTTGTAAAGTTATTAAGGAACGCTGATACAGATTGCTTCTCTCACCTGGGAGCGCTTGAGAGTTACCTCTGAAGAGCCGAAGGCAAACCCAGTCGTCCGTGTATTACCCACGATGGTTATACTCTTCCTCGTATCAACCACTGTTGTATTTGGCTGCATGCTGCTGAGAAGGCTTCAAAATACAAAATCAGAGAAGTCAATGCAGTGATGCACCTGACAACTGATACATCCATGGAACGGGGGGAAGGGGTGGGGAACCAAACCAACATATCTATGCTTAGAAATATTATTACAATTATTTCCTTACTATTAATAAAGTAAGAACAAGTAACAAATCAGCCGTGTCACAAAGTATTAGTAGTACTCAGTGCTAGCACTGACTTGTAGCTCTTTAAAGAAAGTTATCAGAACAACACTCTTCTCTGCACAAGCAACACCACTGATAGGATCTAATACTTCAGCCTGTCTGTTGATTTCCTTGACTTGCTCCCTCCTTGTACCATCTTGAGCCCCCTTGTCTCTACAGTGCTTCAAGCAAATGAAAAAGCATGGGACTCAAACCACTGCTGTCCCATGTAGCAGTTCTGGTGACTCCTCACTCTATTGGGGTCATGTCTAGCTGATTAGGGTACCAAGAGGCTTTCCTGGCAGCAAGGAATCACTGGAGCATCACCAGTAACCCTAATCATGTAAATGTAGCTCCACACTGTACACGTTGGTGCAGGTTATTTTTGCGTGAATACGGGCACATACGCATGCACAGCACTGTGTTTGATGTTCAGCGAGGACCAGCAAATCTGAACAGCAGTAGGTACTATAGTGAATGCTGCTATAAATACGATTAGTATAGATAGGTAGGAAAGAATATTAGCTCTGCTTAGAATGTTGCAAAACATTAAGATCCAGCTCCAGAAGTGGCCCCTTGGAAAAGTACAGTTGACGAGAAGGATGGTCTTGCGGTTAAGGCACAACAGCAGGAGTCAGCTGATCTGGGTGCTATTCCTGTCTGCCGCAGACTTCCTGCATGACTGTGGGCTAGTCCCTGAAAGGGATACTGTCAACTTGAAATCTAGGCTCTTTAAAAAAGGAACGTTAAAGGTAATTTCAGGTTCTATGCTTGAGCCTGAATTTCCATTCCAGCTTTTGTGGGTTTTACAATCTCATTTTCATATTTAAAAAATATTTTCTCTCCATTATTGTAGTGTGGAAATACTACACATGGGAACAAGTGAAATTAACAACACACAAAGCACTGTCAAAATACATTTATTAAACAACATGAGAAACCTTTCCCCCTCTATTGTCTGAGTTACAGTTAATACCTAAAATGACTAACAGTACAATATTTTTGGAAAAGAGGGTGATTTTTTTTTAAAAGTTGCTGGCAACTCTTTACCCCTTCCATTCCTCATTTTCCCCTACCACACAGAGATGGGCCTGAGCTGGATCCAAACTTTCTCAGTTTGGGAGCGCATGGCTGTTGGGGTTTGGTTCAGGCCCATCTATAATTTTAGGCTCTGCCTCTTTAAGTATCCTTTCCTCTAAGGCTCCATATCAGGAGTGTTTCTTGGTGCATAACTACGCTTTGCCAATCTAAAACATTCTAAACAGTTAATATCAAGGTCTGCCGGTATTGTCTATAGATTTAATATAGTGCTGTACTTATGTACATCCAGAAAGCTCACATAATTAACATGGCTAGAATATGTAATCTATGCCCAATGATGCTGTCATTTTATTGTCAAGGTCTCCAGTTAGCAAAGTGCAGATAATGAAATGCCACCGGGGATCAGCATTTGGCTCCCAAACATATCCCTCATTCCCACGCCTACGGGACTGCGAGCATGGTGCAGGCAGAGTGCTCTAACTAAGTTGCTTATATGGCTCCCATTAGGGGAATATCTGACTGACTCACAAGCTATGATGTATTTCGCCTCACAGCATCCTTGGGAGGTAGGGATTATTATCCCCATTTTACAGTTGGGGAATGAGGCACAGAGATGCTAAGGCCATGTCTACACCACAGCTGCTACAGCAGCATAGCTACGGCCTCTCTCACAATGCACAGTGAAAGAATTCATGGCATGACCATGGACGTGTCCTCAGAAGTCTCAATGCCATACAAGTGAGTGCAGTGCAGACACAGAAACTCAAGTGTTATTTTGCAGTGCAGCTGCTCTCACTGTTCTCTCTCGGTGAACATGAGAGAAATAACTCAAGTGAAGACCACTAGAGTTACCTCTGCAGTGAAGACATACCAGTAACAGAACAGCTCATTTTAAAAGGGGGGGGACAAGGGGGAGGGGTGAAGCAGCCAACAGAAGATTGGACAAGAGAAGAACATGCAACAGCCTGAAAAATGATGAATGAAAGAAATGCCTCAGAACATCAAGGGTGGGTTGCACTGAGCTCCCTAGCGAGTCAGCAGTAGTTAGAGATTTTAACAAGCCTTACTACGGAGCAGTAGCAGGCAGGACTTGAAGATAATTAGTTTATTATTAGAGGCTTCAGAGTAAGCCAAAAGGGTTGTTGCGTCTGGGAAGATCAAGCCAATGAGAGAAGAAATGCGCTTTAAAACAGGGGAATACAATGGACCGAGGGATGGGATTGCACTGCAGAAGAGGCATTGCAGATACAGGAAAGCATAGGGGCAGGAAAGCTATTCATTGTTATTGGTGGGTTATTTTATTTATTGAGCACCCAGCCAGACAGTGCACTAACTGCATTCAAACAGATAACTACACAGCCCCTGGCCTGACGGGAGCCCACTCTCAGTGTGGACATAACACAAGTAGTTTCAGAGTAACAGCCGTGTTAGTCTGTATTCGCAAAAAGAAAAGGAGTACTTGTAGCACCTTAGAGACTAACCAATTTATCTGAGCATGAGCTTTCGTGAGCTACAGCTCACTTCATCAGTAGTGATGGTCATAAACAAAAATGGAGTAAGGGGAGCAGTAGGGAAAGGATCACAGATACATCTCGGTGGTTTTGCTAAATATGGATTTCTTAATATAATTTTTATTAGCTTAATTCTCAGAGATGCCACGGCAGAGGTGGGATCTGAATGAGGAAGTGGTGGTAGCCAGGTTAAAGGGTTCCGGAAAGGCACTCTAGGTGTGGAGGAGGGGAGGAGAAGTGTGAAAGAAGGCATGAAGGTAGAAAAAGGAGAAGGAAACAAAGGCGGTGTTAGACAGTAGCACTGGCAGAGTCAAGTCTGTTTGGGTGGGAGGGAGAGAACATGCAGAAAGACAAGCTTGGAGTTCTAGGTCAGGGCTGAGTGAAAGCCGGAGGGAGCTTGTGACATTACACCCCATATTCTTTATGGAAATATGCTTATGACATGGATATGGCATAACTGAGATATATTTTATGCAAAATGGATCTTGTAAGTTATCATCGGAAAAGTTATGATTTACTGAATGTGATTATCCAATTTGTATGCATGTATCATTTCTGTATCTAAAGTTAGGAATATAGACTATGTAACAATTACAACTATGTGTTTGTATTTGGGAGACACCCACCAGACAACAGGCCATCAGCCTTGATGGGCCATTAGGAAGAAACAATAAGACTTTGAAGATACTAATCTCTCTCCTTCCTGAGAGGCTGACGGTACTAGGTCAGTTGGTCCTGTCACCTGGTACTAAACATCATCTTGGACTTCTAGTAATTTTCCACTAAAAGGACAGGGAGGTCAAGACTGGGAAACAAAAGATTCCCGCTATATGTAAATTTTACTTAAGGTTGGGGGGGTAAGGCAAACAAGACTTTTCCATTGCCTTCCTGCCCAAGAAGAAAGACGACTGAAAGTACCTGAAGAGACAAAGCAACTCTGCGGTAGGAAAGGCAAGGGCTGAGTCCAGACTAAGACAGGAGTCTAGTCTGTAAAGAGAAATAACCGGAACTCTAAGCTATAGAAAGTCTGCAACTTACCTAAAACAACATTTAGGGTGAGAAATTATTTCTTGAAACCAGTCTCTTTAAGATCTTCAGCTTAGTATGTATGCGTGTTTTGTTTTATTTGTTTAGTAATCTGCCTTGTTCTGTTTGCTATCCTTTATAATCACTTAAAATCTGCTTTTTATAGTTAATTAACTTATTTTTTATTATTATTAAGCCCAGTTCATGCAATTTCTAACTGGGGTGGCGGTGCAAGAAGTTGTGAACATCTTCCTCCACATGGAGGGAGGGGGCGAATTTATGAGCTTACGTTGTATAGATCTCTCTACTGCGCAAGACAATATTATTTTGGGTAGACTTTCCAGAGGGGAGCTGCACTTGAGTGCTGGGCGATTTCCTAGCTGAGTCTTCTCAGAGAGTGCTGTTTGCGGACTGTGTGTGATTCTACAGCTGGTGTGAGCGTGCGTGTTGCCAGAGGCCAGTAAGCCTAATTCAGCAAAACAGGGAGAGGGAGCCAAGGCTACTGGAGCAGGCAGGCTCAGTGAAATTCCAGTACATCAGGTGGCATCCCAGAAAGCGGGGTCCAACCCGTCACAGAGCTAAAGTGAGGTTAGGCACAATGTGAAAGATCTTTTTATGCTGAGTGGAAAATAAACCAGAAATTGTCATTAATGGATAGAAGCACTTTTGTCTCATTTGGAGAGAGCCATTTGAGAGAGCTAATGTGTGGTTGGTGGAGGAGGTCAGGACCGCATAGTTTGGACACATCGAACCTCTGAGAAGCCTGATGCTTGTGGGGAAAAAAGGCAGGGGGAGGGGACCAGTTCTAAACAAATTCCAAAATGAAAATAATTGAGAGTGCTCTAAAAACAAAAAAACAAAAAACATCATCAGAAGCATGTGAGCAACCTGTTAATTCTTTGTGTATTTCTCAACAAAAATCCAGGACATCCACAGAAATCATGAGGGCCATAGAATTCCTCCCAAGCACCTGGTAATCCAGACAAACCACTTGTAAAGGAACCCAAGAGCTCACACCGGAGATGGAGAAGGAATGTGTGGCTCTAATTAAGCAGCATTCCTTGACAGGGAACAGCCAAGGCATCTGGTAATGGTAGGGGTAAGAATGTCTTCCAAAGTGACACTTAGCTGCTGGCAAGACCTAATTAAAGAATGAGCTGTGGGTGTGTGTGTTTGACTTGGCTTGTTTCTGAACGGCTTTCATTTGAATTGTTTATCCTTGGGAGCCATGCTCTGAAATCTAATGAGGTTTCAACACAAAACTGTGTGAAACTGTCACCCCCATTACAGCTGGTTTGCTGTGGCTGCAAGAGGCACAGCTCAAGAGCCTCATTATCTCCTACTAATACTTGAAGGATTCAAGGGAGGTGGAGACTGTCAGTTTGGGGTGGCTGATCATGATAACTAACCTAGACATGCTATCACCGTGCTTGGGTGAGCATCTCAGCTCCCCCCACCTAAGTCCTCTTCTCTGTCATCACTAACAATGTCACCCTCCCAGCCCCTCTGGTCTCTAAACCCAGAGGCGCCTCTGACTCTGCTCTCCCCCTAGCCCCACACATGCAGGCAATATCCAAGTTTTGCCTCCCCTTCCTCCTCCATAACCTCTCCAAGATCCAGACTTTTCTCTCTGTTCACATCTGCAACACTCTCATTCAAAGCCTTATCTCCTGACTCAGGTACTGCAAAGCTCCTAATGGCTCAGGCCTAAGGGAGATTTGCCAGGTAGAGTGTCTGCTCACAGACCACAATATCCTGGCTGAAGTCTCAGAGGAGGTATTGTGCAGGACATAGACACAGTTGGCCTGAGTTTCCTCCTTCTTACACCAGCATAAATCAGAAGTAACTCCACTGCAGGCAAAAGAGAATCAAGCACAGCCCCTAACTTTCAATACTCCTTCAGGCTTAGCATTTGCAGGGCTGGTTATAGAGCAGCAGAGAGAATTCCCCTCGAAGGAACAAGGGAAAGACATATGAAGACTTACCTGGTTGTCATTTTTTTGAGTGACCTCAATGACTCTGTCAGCTGGTTCATTTCAGTATGGACATGTGCTGCCCCCTCTGGAGAAGAACTCTCAATCACCAGCTGGCCATGAGCCCCAACAAGGTGCAGCTGGATCTCCTTATCCGGGAATTCAGCTAGCAGCCCCTGAAATTCACAGCACTCACAGTCACTTTCAGGGGTCGCTGCTATTTCTGAAGCTTTACCACAATGCATGATAACTGTGTCAAATGAGGGGCTATGTTCAGCCCAGGATTATGCTCGTTTCTCTTGGCACTACACAAGTTATGGGTTCCCAGCAGCAGGATCTGCGAGGGGTTCCTGCAGGAATCCAGGAAAGTCCAAGAAGTGGGTAGCATGGGATTAGGGAAGAGGTGTAGCTAGAACGTCCCTGATGCAGGGTAACACTGTGGGGCTTCTCTGGAGCCCCCCAATGGAAATTAAAGCTGCTGCTTCCTGCTCAAGGGCCAATCAGCCCAGGATAGCACAGGAAGTGTAAGTCACCAGAATGAGTGAATCTGACCCCAAAGTACTTCCATCGAGGAAAAACTGAGCAACCGTGGGAACGGGGACATTTTCCCTTTGGCACAAAAAATGCAACGTAGGATAAACCCATAGAGTAACGCACCATTTAATGCTATACTGCTGTGTGTCTGGAGAAACCATCCTGCCAGGAGGAATTCACTTTCAAGACTGGATTTTCCTTTAATGATGCCCCAGACATTTCAACAGAAGCTTATCCTTCTTTTGCCCCAACCACCCACAAACCATCATGCACTCATCATAGACCAGTCCAGCTAGGCAGTAGGGCCTAACCCTGAGCTAATCCCTGCTTGCACTCAGTCCCTAGCTACCCCCTGCCTGCACCCTGAACTGTTTTCAAACTTTTTGAACTGAGTCCTCACTTTGAGTTATATTTTTTGGTTGCATCCCCCCACGGCCCATACATGGCAAATGCAAATAGATATGGAGCCCAGGGGAACACACCACTTCCCCTGAACAACTACCTGCCGCATGGATCACAAAAGCAAATGGATGATGACACCATACGCCAAGATGTGGTCCTCACCTCCAAATCTGCGACTCTGCTCTCTGTGTTCCTTTCCCCTCTGGCATCCTGATAGGATTCCAACTTCTGTTCAGTCATTGTGATCCACCCCTGAAGGTCTGACAGTTTATTATTGAACGTCCAATGCTCCTGAATGTGTTTCTCGGTCCGTGCCAGGATGATCTAAAAATACCAGGAGTGACAAAAACACAACAGTGATAGAACACAAAGAGACAGCAGGTTTCGCTAGAGAGACTATGGCGACGAGTGCTATAGAAACACAAAGAAATGAAATGATAATACGGATGAAAGGCAGAAACTCCTAGCTGTTTAGTACCATGACATGGAATGCACTTCCTAAGCCCTGGTCTACACTAGGACTTTAGGTCGAATTTAGCAGCGTTAAATCGATTTAAACCTGCACCCGTCCACACAATGAAGCCCTTTATTTCGACTTAAAGGGCTCTTAAAATCAATTTCCTTACTCCACCCGTGACAAGTGGATTAGCGCTTAAATCGACGTTGCCGGCTCGAATTTGGGGTACTGTGGACACAATTCGATGGTATTGGCCTCCGGGAGCTATCCCAGAGTGCTCCATTCTGACCGCTCTGGACAGCACTCTCAACTCAGATGCACTGGCCAGGTAGACAGGAAAAGAACCGCGAACTTTTGAATCTCATTTCCTGTTTGGCCAGCGTGGCAAGCTGCAGGTAACCATGCAGAGCTCATCAGCACAGGTGACCATGATGGAGTCCCAGAATCGCAAAAGAGCTCCAGCATGGACCGAATGGGAGGTACGGGATCTGATCGCTGTTTGGGGAGAGGAATCCGTGCTATCAGAACTCCGTTCCAGTTTTCGAAATGCCAAAACCTTTCTGAAAATCTCCCAGGGCATGAAGGACAGAGGCCATAACAAGGACCCGAAGCAGTGCCGCGTGAAACTGAAGGAGCTGAGGCAAGCCTACCAGAAAACCAGAGAGGCGAACAGCCGCTCTGGGTCAGAGCCCCAAACATGCCGCTTCTATGATGAGCTGCATGCCAATTTAGGGGGTTCAGCCACCACTACCCCAGCCATGTTGTTTGACTCCTTTAATGGAGATGGAGGCAATACGGAAGTAGGTTTTGGGGACGAAGAAGATGATGATGATGAGGAGGTTGTAGATAGCTCACAGCAAGCAAGCGGAGAAACCGGTTTTCCCGACAGCCAGGAACTGTTTCTCACCCTAGACCTGGAGCCAGTACCCCCCGAACCCACCCAAGGCTGCCTCCTGGACTCAGCAGGCGGAGAAGGGACCTCTGGTGAGTGTACCTTTTAAAATGCTATACATGGTTTAAAAGCAAGCATGTGAAAGGATTACTTTGCCCTGGCATTTGCGGTTCTCCTAGATGTTGTCCTAAAGCCTTTGCAAAAGGTTTCTGGGGAGGGCAGCCTTATTTCGTCCTTCATGGTAGGACACTTTACCACTCCAGGCCAGTAACACGTACTCGGGAATCACTGTAGAACAAAGCATTGCAGTGTATGTTTGCTGGCATTCAACCAAAATCCGTTCACGCGGTGGGAGGAGGCAAAATGCGACCTTGTAACGAAAGCACATGTGCTATGTATGTAATGTTAACAGCAAGGTTTACCCTGAAAGAGTGTAGCGACTGTTTTATAAAATGTGTCTTTTTAAATACCGCTGTCCCTTTTTTTTTCTCCACCAGCTGCATGTGTTTCAATGATCACAGGATCTTCTCCTTCCCAGAGGCTAGTGAAGCTTAGAAAGAAAAAAAAACGCACTCGCGATGAAATGTTCTGTGAGCTCATGCTGTCCTCCCACACTGACAGAGCACAGACGAATGCGTGGAGGCAAATAATGTCAGAGTGCAGGAAAGCACAAAATGACCGGGAGGAGAGGTGGAGGGCTGAAGAGAGTAAGTGGCGGGCTGAAGAGAGTAAGTGGCGGGCTGAAGACAGGGCTGAAGCTCAAATGTGGCGGCAGCGTGATGAGAGGAGGCAGGATTCAATGCTGAGGCTGCTGCAGGACCAAACCAGTATGCTCCAGTGTATGGTTGAGCTGCAGCAAAGGCAGCTGGAGCACAGACTGCCACTGCTGCCCCTCTGTAACCAACCGCCCTCCTCCCCAAGTTCCATAGTCTCCACACCCAGACGCCCAAGAACGCGGTGGGGGGGCCTCCGGCCAACCAGCCACTCCACCACAGAGGATTGCCCAAAAAAAAGAAGGCTGTCATTCAATAAATTTTAAAGTTGTAAACTTTTAAAGTGCTGTGCTTAAAGTGCTGTGTGGCATTTTCCTTCCCTCCTCCACCACCCCTCCTGGGATACCTTGGTAGTCATCTCCCTGTTTGTGTGATGAATGAATAACGAATGCATGACTGTGAAGCAGCAATGACTTTATTGCCTCTGCAAGCAATGATTAAAGGGAGGAGGGGAGGGTGGTTAGCTTACAGGGAAGTAGAGTGAACCAAGGGGCGGGGGGGTTCATCAAGGAGAAACAAACAGAACTTTCACACCGTAGCCTGGCCAGTCATGAAACTGGTTTTCAAAGCTTCTCTGATGCGTACCGCGCCCTCCTGTGCTCTTCTAACCGCCCTGGTGTCTGGCTGCGCGTAACCAGCAGCTAGGCGATTTGCCTCAACCTCCCACCCCGCCATAAACGTCTCCCCCTTACTCTCACAGATATTGTGGAGCACACAGCAAGCAGTAATAACAGTGGGAATATTGGTTTCGCTGAGGTCTAAGCAAGTCAGTAAACTGCGCCAGCGCGCCTTTAAACGTCCAAATGCACATTCTACCACCATTCTGCACTCGCTCAGCCTGTAGTTGAACAGCTCCTGACTACTGTCCAGGCTGCCTGTGTACGGCTTCATGAGCCATGGCATTAAGGGGTAGGCTGGGTCCCCAAGGATACATATAGGCATTTCAACATCCCCAACAGTTATTTTCTGGTCTGGGAATAAAGTGCCTTCCTGCAGCTTTTGAAACAGACCAGAGTTCCTGAAGATGCGAGTATCATGCACCTTTCCCGGCCATCCCACGTTGATGTTGGTGAAACGTCCCTTGTGATCCACCAGAGCTTGCAGCACTATCGAAAAGTACCCCTTGCGGTTTATGTACTCGGCGGCTTGGTGCTCCGGTGCCAAGATAGGGATATGGGTTCCGTCTATAGCCCCACCACAGTTAGGGAATCCCATTGCAGCAAAGCCATCCACTATGACCTGCACATTTCCCAGGGTCACTACCCTTGATATCAGCAGATCTTTGATTGCGTGGGCTACTTGCATCACAGCAGCCCCCACAGTAGATTTGCCCACTCCAAATTGATTCCCAACTGACCGGTAGCTGTCTGGCGTTGCAAGCTTCCACAGGGCTATCGCCACTCGCTTCTCAACTGTGAGGGCTGCTCTCATCTTGGTATTCATGCGCTTCAGGGCAGGGGAAAGCAAGTCACAAAGTTCCATGAAATTGCCCTTATGCATGCGAAAGTTTCGCAGCCACTGGGAATCGTCCCAGACCTGCAACACTATGCGGTCCCACCAGTCTGTGCTTGTTTCCCGAGCCCAGAATCGGCGTTCCACAGCATGAACCTGCCCCATTAGCACCATGATGCATGCATTGTCAGGGCCCATGCTTTCAGAGAAATCTGTGTCCATGTCCTGATCACTCACGGGACCGCGCTGACGTCGCCTCCTCGCCCGGTATCGCGTTGCCATGTTCTGGTGCTGCATATACTGCTGGATAATGCGTGTGGTGGTTAATGTGCTCCTAATTGCCAAAGTGAGCTGAGCGGGCTCCATGCTTGCCGTGGTATGGCGTCTGCACAGGTAACTCAGGAAAAAAGGCGCGAAATGATTGTCTGCCCTTGCTTTCACGGGGTGGGGAGGGAGGGAACGGGGGGCTGACGATATGTACCCAGAACCACCCGCGACAATGTTTTAGCCCCATCAGGCATTGGGATCTCAACCCAGAATTCCAATGGGCAGCGGAGACTGCGGGAACTGTGGGATAGCTACCCACAGTGCAACGCTCCGGAAGTCGATGCTTGCCTCGGTACTGTGGAAGCGCTCCGCCGAGTTAATGCACTTAATGCACTTAGAGCATTTTCTGTGGGGACACACACACTCGAATATATAAAACCGATTTCTAAAAAACCGACTTCTATAAATTCGACCTAATTTCGTAGTGTAGACATACCCTAACTGGATATCGACAAGTGACTGCAGATCTGAGCTTAGCCACATGGTGGGGCATTATGTATTAGAATAGTTTCCCTCTTCACAGATGACTCAAAGTGAAAAATCCTATATTTTAGTATCTGAACTAAGTACTTCCTCCTCCCCTCTTTGCATGTGAAATCACTCTAGATATAATAGAAAGAGATCTGCCATATGGTACTTTTACCTGGAAAAATACTATTTCAGTGATATATTTGTTTACTATTTGTGATTAAAAACTAGAATTCCCTAGCATATTAGGGTCAAATTTTATGACGAATAATTTTTTTAGTGACATAGCAAACCAAGAGAATTTTACATGAGCTCAGTTTGTTTTGGAAGGGAAGATTTTTATCCCTGTTTTTACAAGCAACAAAATACTTTAGGTCAGCAGTTCTCAACTGGGGATCTGTGGCCCGCTGGCAGTCTGTGAGCCCTTTCATGGGGCTGTGAAGCCCTGCAGCTGAAACCCGATGCCCCGAGCCCCAGTGCTGAAGCTGGGAGTGGCATGGGACTAAAACTGGCACCCCAGCCTGCCCCGCAGCCGGGAGGGTGCGGGACTGAAGCCGGTGCCCCTTTCCGACCCTGCCCCCCAGCTGGGAGCAGTGTGGGGCTGAAGCCGGCGGCCCCCGCCCCTCTTCCCCCACCCCAGCTGGGAGTGGTGCGGCGCTGAAGCCGGAAGCCCCAGCACCCACCCCGGAAGCTCGGAGCCGCACTGGGAGCTCCCCGCAACCTATACACACCCCCCAGCTACCTCCTGCCTCCACTCTGAGCTACTCCCACTGCCCGCACACAGCCCCTAGCTATCACCTGCCTGTACCCTGAGCTAATCCCCGCTTGCACACAGTCCCTAGCTACCCCCTGCCTGCACCCTGAGCTACTCCCCTGCCTGCACCCTGAGCTGTTTTCAAACTTTTTGAACTGAGTCCCCACTTTGAGTTATATTTTTTGGTTGCATCCCCCCACGGCCCACACAGGCTGGATGGCCTCCTGAGTGAGTCAGGGGGTGGAGGTGGCGTCCGTCCCTGGACCCTGCTGTGCGGGGCTGGCTCGAGTTCCGCCAGCCCTTGCTTCCCCCGCCTCAATAGAAGTAAAACTATGCCTATGCTCAAGGGTCCGTGACCCCTCCCTCCCGCCCCAGAACCCTGCGCTCCCCCCTCCTCCCTTGCCAGGCCCTGGTGTTTTTATAGCATGCTGAGGTGGGCCTCAGCAAGAAAAAGATTGAGAACCCCCCGCTTTAGGTTAAATCAGTCCTTGATGTAACTGCAGTGGGTTTGATTCGTTAACTTTTAGGTCTTATAAAAGCCTCTGTGATAAACCTTCCAGAGGATCCAGTACTAAATGCTCGATGCAGCAAATCCCAAGAACATTGCATGAGCCCAAGCCAAAAAGATCTGGACACTCGGCAATGGATTCAGCCCCCCGGGGTGGGGAGCCTCACACTACACAATTGAGACTTTCCAAACCAAACAAGGAGTAGTGTTTATAGACTCTAAAAGGGAGTCTATCCACTCCTCACGACTTGTCTGAACACAAAAGTTGTATTGGTTAATTATACTGGTATAAAGTTGTACAACCCCCACTAGTGTGGACACATTTATATTGGTATGAAGGTTCTTATTCTGGTATAACCTATTCCCATACAGAAAGGGAAACATATTGGCATAAAGGTGCTTTAGAGCAGTATGGTTTAACTGCATCCACTCTAGGGGCTGTACCTTTATAACTATATAGGTAAAAATTCCCCGCTCCCACAACCAAAATATTTACATCTACGTGTAGTCTCAGATGGTAGGATGGTGGTCACAATGTAGGGGGAGGACGATTAAAATAGAGAAAACTGGGGAATGTTTAAAGATTTATCAAGGCCATAAGAACTCAGCCCCTGCCTTCCGCTTGTGGAAAATGTCAGCGGTTGAAAGCAGACATTATGATAACGTGAAAGGATAATTTTCACAGCTGACACTTTAAATTCTTCACTAAATGATGAGTTACCTCCAGAGATCTCTTCAGTGTCTGATAGTCAGATGAAAGCTGGTTCATTTTATCTCTGTGGGGTAATCCCATCTGGGGTAAATCTGTGGGATTAGACTGAACTAGATTCTGCAGCTCTTCCCTTTGAACTATAAACTCTGCCAATTCTTCTTGGATCATCTGTAGAGAAAAGGGAATACTGTACATTGGCTACTTATGTACTGAACATCATTTGGCCTACAAGATAGGTCAGAACATTGATTCTGCAGTTGGGTCCATTTGACAGCATGAGATGTATTAAAGAAAATTTTAATTTTAATTTTAAGCAATTTAGTTTTTGATGCCCAGAACTGAAAATTTACAAAAGAAGCCAGCAGGCGTTCTGATACATTAGCAGCTGATTACAAAGAAGTCAAGTGATAGCATGCTTACTGCTAGTAGGCTAATTAAAGCATCACAATGGTGCAACAGCACCAAAATAGCAGCAATTTAAGGACTTGATTTTGCTGTCACCGAGCCCAGGTCTACACTAAAAAGTTAGGTTGACCCAGCTGTGTTGCTCATTTCTCTTGGCACTACAGGAAAAATCCCAGTTCCCAACCCTGATTCTCACCACTGTGAGATCAGAACCAGGCTGTATAAATTTATCATAGAACAAACATCTTTCTAGAATCAGATAATTACTTGTGTGACAAGTCAAGTAAAGGCTTCTCCTCGCCCCCCCCCCGGTACTTCTGACATAAATAAATTATACATTTTGCCTAGAAGGAAAATAAATCAGTCAGGCCATCTGCCAATGTGAGCGTGATTAACATGCAGGTAGAATAGATAACAATCACTGTAACATACCTGTAGTCTCCGGAGTCGTCTTTCTTTACCTGAATGGTCAGGTTGTGGTTCATTCTCTAGATCTACTTTGGCTCTGATAGCAGATAACTTCTTTTGCAGATGCAGAAAGCCTCCATCAAAGTCTTTATGTTGAGTTACCAAACTCTAGGCAGAAAGAGAAAAAAGAGCACTCGATATAACTACAGTTATATTATTTTGTCAGTGTCCACTTGACACTATGAGCAAATAATCAGCTGCCCTGCACAATAATCCACATTTCTATTAATCTACAAAATGCAGTTGGTTAGTATTAGTGAATTTATTTATACAAATCTGGATTAATAAAAGATTGATCACAATTTTGGCATGGATATTGTGATGGGGCAAGGCCAGATGGCTATAGAAAAGTAGTGGGAGATAGATATATTAGCTCCAGGCTAAACAAATCCCTGGTGCCAGGTTAAGTGAAATGGAAGCTGCTCCAGGTCAATTAAGACACCTGGGGCCAATTAAGAACTTTCCAGAAGGCAGGGAGAAGGCTAGGTTGATTGGGACACCTGAAGCCAATCAGGGGCTGGCTGAAACTAGTTAAAAGCCTCCCAGCCACTCAGGTGGGAGTGGATGTCAGGAGCTGTGGGAGGAAGTTGTGCTGTTGGAGAGGCTGAGTAGTACACACCATATCAGGCATGTTGGATCATATTAAAGAAGTTCCGTATTAAAATCACAAATGAGTTTGATTCCCCAGAGTTTAAATTCCAGGGTATTACTAATTAAGAGGTCTCTTGGTTTTTGGTACTGTTTCTCTCCCTCTATGTGTGAAACTTGCAAGCTGCTAATTGTGTTAGTACATTCTAAGACAGAGTCTATTCTCAAAGCAATTCACAGAGAGAGAGAGACTCAAAGCAATACTCTAACAACAGAAACAGCACCCAGAGACTCCCCACCCTTTTGTTGTATTAACAATTGTGATTAAAATAGAGATAGAGGATGTATGTGGATGGATGCTTGGTGTGAATAATAACTGAATGATCAGGGAGGTGCCAGCCTAAGAATCCAGTGTCCATCGGCTGAAGAAGGCGTCAAGTGGAAATAACCAGAGGACCCCCCGGAGGGCAGACTGGAATCCACCCAACAGCCTCAAGAATGGGAGAACCAAAGAACAAGATAACATCTTGGAGCCGTCAGGAATGTGCTATCTGCTGATTGATTCAGCAACAGCATGATGAAGCAATTCCCATAGACTGGCATAGGAAGAAATTCCTATAAAAATAGACTCTAAAAAGTGAGAACTTTGGAGGGTCTGATTCTGCAAACCAACTTCCAGGAGCATCAGATGAGCATCTGACAAGGCCCTGCTCCCTCCTCATGTCCAGGCCACCTGGCCAGTGGCTTGGCATGAGCAACTCTAAGGCTGGTAACTATGATAACAACCTTGCAGAACCTGTGTGTGTGTGTGTGTGTGTGTGTATGTTTGTATGAATGAATGTGTGAATAAATATGAGATTGAATGGAATGTTATAACTATAACTAACTGCTTACTATGATTCTTTCTGTATTCACAATAAATGTGGTATTTTGCCTTTTTCCCTTTAATAAGATCCTGCTGGTTTTTATTTTATTGGTACAACATTTTGGTGGAGAATTGCGAAAGGGGGAATATTGGTAAAAAACCTCAGTTATTGTAAATATTGGTGTGCACACCACCAGCTCTAGTGAGCTAGGCATTTCTATTAGGTTAACCAGACCTGCTGGCCTCCGAGAAGGTAGCAGGAAAAAAAAACAGATTAAACCAGACCTGCTGGCCTCCGAGAAGGTAGCAGGGGACCTGCTGGCCTCTGAGAAGGTAGTAGGGAAAACAGATTAAACCAGACCTGCTGGCCTCCGAGAAGGTAGCAGGGGACCTGCTGGCCTCTGAGAAGGTAGTAGGGAAAACAGATTAAACCAGACCTGCTGGCCTCCGAGAAGGTAGCAGGGAAAACAGATTAAACCAGACCTGCTGGCCTCCGAGAAGGTAGCAGGGAAAACAGATTAAACCAGACCTGCTGGCCTCCGAGAAGGTAGCAGGGAAAACAGATTAAACCAGACCTGCTGGCCTCCGAGAAGGTAGCAGGGGACCTGCTGGCCTCCGAGAAGGTAGCAGGAAAAAACAGATTAAACCAGACCTGCTGGCCTCCGAGAAGGTAGCAGGGGACCTGCTGGCCTCCGAGAAGGTAGCAGGAAAAAACAGATTAAACCAGACCTGCTGGCCTCCGAGAAGGTAGCAGGGAAAACAGATTAAACTAGACCTGCTGGCCTCCGGGAAGGTAGCAGGGGACCTGCTGGCCTCCGAGAAGGTAGCAGGGAAGAACAGGTTAACCGGACCTGCTGGCCTCCGAGAAGGTAGCAGGGAGAAATAACCTGCTGGCCTCCGAGAAGGTAGCAGGGAGAAATAGGTTAACCAGACCTGCTGGCCTCCGAGAAGGTAGCAGGGAAAAATAGGTTAACTGGACCTGCTGGCCTCTGGGAAGGTAGCAGGGGACCTGCTGGCCTCCGGGAAGGTAGCAGGGGAAAAACGCATAGATTAAGCTATGATTTCAGAATCTAGGCTGTGTCACTTGCTAAGTAATACCAGCAGTGACAAGAGATTGAAATATCCATGTTAAGATGTTTAAAAGAAAACAGGGTAAGCCAGTACCAGAGGGAGGAATGGAGTCAGAAGGAACTCCAACCTCACCTTTTGTTAAAGAAATCACAACTTCTAAACAAATCCTTCAAAAATTTGGGCACAGTCCTTGGACTAAACAAGCCCTAGCTGATGCCTGCACTATTTCGGACCTAGAGGATAGATTGGCTCAGTATATCCTCATATACAAACCTTCTAGTGCTGCCAAAAGAGATGCAGCAGCAATTTGGTTGTTGTGGGAAGCATGTAAGGATTCTTCCCTCCGCTTGTCCTCATGTAAAGAGGAAAAGGCACAAACGGAAAAGGGAGCAGACAATTGGAAGGTGCTGGCTACAAATACCCAAAGCCAGCTGAAAATAGTGAAAGAGGCACTCCAGGAATACAACAAGAGAGTAAAAAAAAAAAAGTTAACTCTGCAGAGGCTGGAGGGAATTAAGCAGTTAAACTTTGTATTTCACCCAAACAACTTTTAACCGAAAATGTTAAAAAGGAAAAGTGTTAGAGAAAGAGCATTCTTGGTTTCTTTGCAGCCAGTCTGAAAGAAAAATGGGCCCTTTTCCAAAGGAATGTCTGTAAATTAGCCAGGCAAAAATAAAGTATCTGATTAAAATCATTTGACTGGACAATTTAGTCAAATTTGATAAAAGAACATAAGAGGGTTCTATTGGAACTTAACTGCCTCAAATGTATAAAGGGAATGTAAGATGTAAAAAACAGAGCAGTGTGGAAGGGATGTTAAGGAAAAGAAAACGTGTATGTATCTGTCTGTGTGTGTGTAAATATGTAAAGTTCTAAGGACCAGTTAGTTTTGTTTTTGTTTTAAATAATGCCACTAAAAATCCATTTGACTCTTTAATTCAAAGTTGCAAAACTGACAGACCTTTTTGCTAGACACAGGTAATTAGTGTTGTTTGGCTTTGGGATTTGGCATTTAACCCTTAAAAGGTAACTCAATGCTTTAAAAAATTTAAAATGTTTTTAAGTTGTGGCTGCAGCAGGGCAGTCAAAATCAGGAGAATATATAAAAAAAAAATTCTGGATTCTTTTTGTTTGTTTGATTTTTGTTTGTTTGTTTTTGTAACAAAATAGCAGATAAGAGTTGTAGTAAAAAAAAAAATTAAAAAAAGACAGTGCCCCTCTGAAGCAACAGCAGGGGTGAGGTGCACAAAACAAAAAGAAGCAATGTTAGAAACACTGAGTCTTAAAATGGCTCTGAGTAATCAGACTGTCACTTTGATAAAAATACATGAAAACTCTGTAAGCAAAAAAAGAAATAGTGACACCTTATGTAAAAATGGATCTGGATAATGTTATAGAAGTTAAACTATGGAAGGAATGTGCATTTGCCCCAGAACATGTGCAGGGTATATTGTAGAAGGGGCAAAAGAAATGCAAACATACCATGCTACTTAATTAAAATGCTATTAGGGCTCCAAAGGGAGCCACAATAGGTTGGGTTTTCTTTTTCAGATTGCTGTGTGTTTTGGAAGCAGAAGTTAAAAGTGAAAGTTGATTGTGTCCCTTTTAAGATAGAGTCTCTGAGCTGCTGATGGCTTTAAATCCAAAAGCAGGAAGTTTCTGTGAAAATGCAAATTACCTAAATGATAAAGGAAGGAAAGAACTAGCAGCACAAAGGAGCTGCAGATAAAGGACATACCTGGTCAGCAAACAAATTGTCTAAATAAAAGGCATGGGATAACAAGATAATTTTAATAAATTTAATGATAATAAGTATCCCTGTAACAACGTATAGTGTGTATGATTTTTGGAAAAATCCTTTAAGGTCGTACGGTAATGATGCTTCTCAGTTACTATCTGTAAATAGAACTTAAAGCTTAACACAGCAGGAAAAACATTATAAACTTGGTCTGCTGTATAAGAAGGAAAACTCAGGGATTTAATGACTAAACAGTGGGATAATTTCCCCATAACCCTTAAAAGATAAAAGCCATTGAAACCTGGCCTGCCTATAGAACAAAAACAGGAAAATATGGGGGCAATTTCTCTGTTTTGCCTGCAATCAGCCAGGGTATTTGTAAAAGAAATATTTTAAGCAATAATCTGCCACCCCAAAAGGGGTAGAAACATGTTCTTTTTGTCTTTCAGAAAATCAGGAAAAGCTGATGCCAGCTGAAAAGCAACCCAATACCATGAATCTACTGTCACAATAGAAATTGTGTTCTGTGTTCTATGTTTTGTCTTGTGTTTTGTCTTGTTGCTAGCACTGTTGTGTGTTTAAAAAAAAAAATACTGAAGACCTGCAGGAACTTAAAAATAAATTAAGCTTTCTGTCCCAGCTACAGGACAGCCTGATACAAAAACAAGTACATGCCAATGTAGACTTGGTCCAAATTGGTCTGGGTAACCTAAAAGGCCGATGGAATCTTTAGTAATGGCTTAATACTACCACATGGCTTATCCATAAGAAAAAAAAATATATTAGAAATAGGAAACTACACAGCCATAGCTATGGGATGCACTGAAATGCAGATACTTGCACTAGCTACTTTGGAACACAAAATGTTCTGGGTCATATTGGGAAATATTAAGGGTTTGATGCATTTGTTAAAAAAGAAAGAGATCATTGTTTGACATTTATCAATATGAATGGATGCAATATGTTTCCAGTATTGTAAACCAGACTTGTTAATGGGAGAAATTGTTGTCAAAATTGCACACCAACAGTCCCTGGAGGCAAAGGTATTGAAGGTTAACCCACTCCCCATATTACACATGGGATCCTTCTGGCTACCCTGGACCTTGAGCCAGTGGACTGGGGAAGGAGGGAAGCTATTGGACACTAGAGGTTGTACCGAATGGACTCCTCAAAAGTGGGTGTGCCTCACCTTGCCTGTTGCCCCAGAACCTTGTAGTAAAGATACATCACTAGGATCATGTATGTGGCATGAATTGGAATCACAAACTCAAATTGCCTCACAGTACTTTCTCTTGAATAGGCTACATAGAAAGTGACACTGACGATTATAAATCTTAGTGTCAAAAGGGGGATTATGTTGGATCATATTAAAGAAGTTCCGTATTAAAATCACAAATGAGTTTGATTCCCCAGAGTTTAAATTCCAGGGTATTACTAATTAAGAGGTCTCTTGGTTTTTGGTACTGTTTCTCTCCCTCTATGTGTGAAACTTGCAAGCTGCTAATTGTGTTAGTACATTCTAAGACAGAGTCTATTCTCAAAGCAATTCACAGAGAGAGAGAGACTCAAAGCAATACTCTAACAACAGAAACAGCACCCAGAGACTCCCCACCCTTTTGTTGTATTAACAATTGTGATTAAAATAGAGATAGAGGATGTATGTGGATGGATGCTTGGTGTGAATAATAACTGAATGATCAGGGAGGTGCCAGCCTAAGAATCCAGTGTCCATCGGCTGAAGAAGGCGTCAAGTGGAAATAACCAGAGGACCCCCCGGAGGGCAGACTGGAATCCACCCAACAGCCTCAAGAATGGGAGAACCAAAGAACAAGATAACATCTTGGAGCCGTCAGGAATGTGCTATCTGCTGATTGATTCAGCAACAGCATGATGAAGCAATTCCCATAGACTGGCATAGGAAGAAATTCCTATAAAAATAGACTCTAAAAAGTGAGAACTTTGGAGGGTCTGATTCTGCAAACCAACTTCCAGGAGCATCAGATGAGCATCTGACAAGGCCCTGCTCCCTCCTCATGTCCAGGCCACCTGGCCAGTGGCTTGGCATGAGCAACTCTAAGGCTGGTAACTATGATAACAACCTTGCAGAACCTGTGTGTGTGTGTGTGTATGTTTGTATGAATGAATGTGTGAATAAATATGAGATTGAATGGAATGTTATAACTATAACTAACTGCTTACTATGATTCTTTCTGTATTCACAATAAATGTGGTATTTTGCCTTTTTCCCTTTAATAAGATCCTGCTGGTTTTTATTTTATTGGTACAACAGGCACACGGAAGAAGACCCTGAGGTAAGGGTGAAGTGGAGCTTGAGGAAGTGAGGGCTGCTGTGGGGGAAGTAGCCCAGGGAATTGTACATGTCATGTTTCTAAAAGGTCAGCTACCATAGCTGATACCATTAGGGTCCCTGGGCTGGAGCCCGGAGTATAGGGTGGGCCCAGGCTCCCCCCCCACACCTTTGCCCCCTGATTAATCACTGAGACTGGGAGACAACAGAGACTGTGCAAGGAAGGATAACTTCTCCTCACTTCCCTTGCTGGCTTATGATGAAAATGGCTCAGTAGACTGTGACCCTTGTCCCTAGAAAAAGAAGGGTTATGTGGAGGGTCACAGTGAGCCTCTGAGGCGAGCGAAATCCACCAGGAAACGTGGGACCCACGGAGGCAAGGACAGAGCTCTGTCACAATATTAAATAGTAAACAGGCCTTGGAGTGAACTGAATATTAACTGCTCACCTGCAGTCTGCTTTTCCTTTGTAGCAGACTTTTGTGTAGAATTTCTCTCTCCTTTGCCGTATCGGTTACCTCTGCTAGGAGAGACTTTGCTCTCTCTTCACCAAAGATACTGCTTAGCAAATCCTTCTTCAGCTGTAACATCATCAACTTCTCCTTGAATTGGGAACTCTCAGCCAGGCATGCCTACAGGAGAACAAGTATTCTCATAACACCCAGGGCTACATGAGCGGATCAGGTGGCATATGCACAGAAAAACAGCAAGGTCATGGCTGTAGGACAACAGTATCTTGAGCATACCTGCTATACCACAAGGCACCCACCCTGTGCCAAGCTGAGAGCCAAATCAGCAACTTGCCAGAACCCCAAGTGCAGCACTCATTTTTTTACATAAAAGGAGCCAATTGCAGTCACCTTCATCCCAAATATGGAGACGAGGCCCAACGGCTCAGCATAAAGCCTGGCTGCTCGCATCAAGGTGAAGCATTGCTTGCTGGGATCTGTCGTCTACACTCCTAAAAGGAGGAAGCTGTGAGCAACACTGTAGGGCTCTGTGGGCCTACTCGAGTCCTGGTATAACGGATGACTCAGGCTGCTATACCACAAACTGCATCAGGAAGGCGTAAATTCTGCTCCCAATATTTCTTTTATATAAACCGGACTGCTTCATTTCTCTGGTTCTGCAGCTGCTTTCCTGATCTGCATGAAGGAAGCCTACTGAGCTACATGGTGCCTGACATGAAACTGTCTTATCAGGGTTATGGTTCAGTTTGATCCCTGTTTATAAAAACATTTATTCCAAAGATCCAAGGGGCGAGGGAGTCACCATCACTACTCAATTCATGGGTGCATGCAGCAATTATGTATCTTAATATCTAAACTATATTATTACAAAAGTATTAATGGAGTCCTCAGATTTCCTACCCAGATGGATGTGGGGTTACTGCCAAAGGCAATAATAAGGCACTTAGCTCTTATATAACATTCCTTTCTCAACTGGCAACTCTAGCTCACTAAATAGAATGCCCAAAATGATGTGACTTTGTTACAATTAGTGCAGATGTGGGCCTGAGTTTCAGCAGTGTGTTATTTCCTAAAGGAACTGGAAAACATTCTCAGTTGTCGCCAACAGACAGCTGCATTCGTGCACGTGTCACTATAGCTTGTGCCATGCGAACAAGAGACTGGCTTCCTAACTTAGCTGCAACTCTCTACCTCAATCTGAAGTAAGAAAGCATGTGTCAGGGAGGGCTCAGCAACATTAGCAGTGGAGTCCAGAAGTCTCTGAGCCGATGGCTTCCACGACTGGAACTCTCGCAGTGGATTTTGAAAACTCTGCCTGAGCTCAGTTTCAGTCCCAGTGCTCATTTTAAATGTCTTTCCCTTGGCCCTGCAAGAATAAGCAGACAATGGCGAGAATGATTAAAGTGAAATCTTAAGCTAAATGTGCAATTCACTGAGGGACAAAAATAGCACAATCCTCGTGTGCCTGCTCCAACCAACACAAAGAACCTCCGTTTTCTCCTGGCTTTGTCCACCCTTCACTAGGCAGCTGCTTCTGCCAGTCAGATGTCCAACAAACCCTGCTTAGATATGGAGGGACACATTCACCTCTGCTCCAACTCCACTGAAATCAGTAGAGACGTACCAGGGATGAAATCTGGCCTGACAGTTTCAATGCCAAACAAACAATCTCATTGTGTTCAATTTGTTATCTTCAGTATTATCCACCAAGTAAGATCAAAGGAACAACGCGGCGGGTGGATGGGAGAAACAAGCCATGCACGTACATCTAAGAAACCTAGCATTTAGCTGCAGCCCCCTTTAGCATTTCCATAAAAAGGTGAAAAAGGAGTTTTGGTCCATTTAAAAAATTTTTTTATCTTTACACACAAAAAATAAATGTTGATAACCCCAAATTGCCCAGAATAAAGGAGGACAAAAATAAATTTTCCTGGTTTTTAATTCTATATTTTTTAAACTTTTTAGAATCATCTGTGTGTGCCAGGTAAAATCAGTGGATAAATTAAAATAGCTAACACTCATTGAACTAATATATGGTTTAAATATCCAGACTCCCAGTCTGAAGGCTGGTCCTAAATGCTGTGGGGCCGTGAGAGGAACTTACGCAGTTCCCTTCCCAGTGGCAGACCCCCTAAAGCTACCTCCTACTTCCCTGTGCTTTCCTGACCTTCCATCCTGTTGGATCCTGAAGTCAGGAGCAGCTTGCAGTATAAAGGTTATGCATAAAAGGAAATATTGTCCTGTTAAGACACAGGAATGGGAATCAAGAGTTCAGCTCCTAGTTATGCCACAGACTTCCAACGCAATCTTGGCTAATTTCACTTTTCAGCATCTGCTTCCCCCTCTGTGAAATGGAGATAATACTAGTTACCTACATGTCACAGGGGTGTTTGCAATGAGCCTAGCTTCCTGAGGGCCCTGAAATCCTCAGATGGAAATCTCTGTTATTACTTCCTTTGCCATCCACTCTACAGACTCTGCCAGCAGCAGCCTGTGACTTTGCCACGCCTTGCAAAGAAGCAGGAGTTTTGGGGAAAAGCTGGCAACTTATTGAACAGCCACTGATTTCTGATCAGAGGCAAGTTTAAGTCTCCTATAGTTGTTCTTTATTGGAAAATAAATCCCAGTTTGTTTCATTTTTAAAATTTGAATTGCTTGCTTTTCTGCATCAATTTTATTTCTCCAGTCTTTTTCCATTTGCCAGCACAGTCTGCTCTAGGGATAGGAAAACCAGTTTAGATACAATAAAAATAAACTGACCTTCTTTTCCCCTTCCCAGACTGATCCTTTCTTGAAGTTTGCTAACTGCAGCCTCTGAACTTTCTGATTCCAGACAGCCTGGAAGCGGAAGTGCTAAAGCACAGGGAGAGGCTAGATTTGAAATGTTTCCAGCCCGAACATGGAAGCAGGAAACAGGAGATACGTAGTAAGGAGAAGGTGGAATAAGCCCTGCCAGATAACTGGGAGGGGAACGATTCATCAAAACAAACCTCCCAGAAAAAGGCCATGTACACTCTGCAGTAGTTTAGCCAAACCCTTTACAACAACAGTTCCCAGTCCGATTTTTAGTTGAGCATGAAAAGCAAGCAAAAAATAAAAATACTGATTCTACACTGTTAAAACAAGCAGTCAAACCAAATATTTCATCCAGACTATACCTAGTACAGCAAGAGAGGGATCCAAGAGCAGGAGATAAGGAATCTGTGTTCCAAACCATTATGGAGGCTCAGAATATACTGTCCAGACAGTCAAACCTTCCCACTACATCAGAGAAACCACAAAGATCAGTTTCCTTTGCTATTTTTAACATGTAAATGCCTGATCTTGCTCCCATTGAGGTCAGAGGCAAAACTCCTGCTCACCTCAATGGAAGCAGACTTGGGCCCGAAGAAAGAGATTTTCCAGCACTCAGAACTAGGGCCAGATTTATGGAAGTATTCAGCCACCCAGCAGCTCCTGTTGCGACACTTCCAGCCGCAATGCCAAAAGAAGCCAACGCCCAATGCGCTAAGCTCTTCTGAAAATCTGGCCATTTATTTTGGTGTCTAAATGGGAGTTGAGCTCCTCTGGGACTTCTCCTGTGAGTCAGATCTTCTCAACAAGGTTCCAGGAACTGGTCCCAAGGCAGCAAGGTTAACTGAAATGTGGGATGTGGCTATCGTCAATAAAAAAACAAAACAAAAGCCCAAAACCCTTTGTTCTCTGCCACCTAAGGTCAGTCTGTATCTTGCACTTTCTCCACAGACCCTTGCTGATCCTTGGAGCCATTCAGTCCCCAGTGAAGTTTTATGTCAAACTGCTAGCCCGCCCCCCGCCCACATTCCCCATGGATAAATACCTTTGATATTCCCGTATTGCAGCTACAACACCGTCAGAGAGCGGTTGTATATTCTGTGAAAACCGGAACAATTCCTTAAGCTGAGCCTTCAGTCTCTCAGCCTTTGGCTCTTCTGCTGCAAGCGCTGCTCTTGCTGCCTTAATCATAAAAATAATGATCAGTTTGCATCATGAGCACAAAACCTGGAACATGAAATGTATAGACTATGCTGAATCTAGAGATGGTCAAACTATTTGCCACAAGCCATTTGTGTGTCAGATTTGGCCCTTTTTCTGTTCTCAAACTGTCCGTGACATGATCAGGATTTTCATAAATGTCCAGATTGTTTGTTATAGTTAGGTGACTAATTTTTAAAAACACCTTTGTGCCTATGGGTGTTTTGTAAACTGTTCACAGCAAGTGCTCTGTGAGTATTTTATATGCAGAATTCACTAATTAAACGGTGTGACTGGTCAACAAAGTCACACGGCCAGGGGTGCTGGAACAATTTTTATAGTGGGGGTACTGAGAGCCACTGAACCAAATTGTAAACCCTGTATATGATGGAAACTACTTCAATCCAGGGAGTGCTGCAGCACCCCCCGCACCCTAAATTCCAGCACCTATGCACATGGCTTAATTTCTATTTCCTGACTGGGTGACCTAAGGCGAGCAGCACTTCTGGTACAATTACAATCAAACCTATCTGTGCTAATAGCAGCTTTTCCACAATCTGGTTATATGGCTATGCATGGAAAAGGGAACAAAAAGGGGTAGGTACACAGCTGGATTGAAACACAGTTTGGCTTAAGTGAATAAAGTTTGCAACTACTTTTACCCTACTCTTTGCAAAGCACTTGCTGAATACGACATAAAACTAGGCATTTTGGATTATAATGAAAGTAATAAAAATGATGACAGATGCATAAATGTTACAGCTGTTAACAGGAAGTTAATGACGTGTGATTTTAAATACTCTATCTGCAGAAGACCCTCTTCTTATGCCATCTCATGTTTAGAGAAGTTTGATTTTTTTAACATGGGATTTCTACAACCAGAAACCTGAAATTATAAGTGTGTGTGCACAAACCCACCAGTACGCACTTTATTTTAATGGGACTAATTGGAGAGAAAGATACAACCCCATATGAGCAGGAACAACAAACATTATTTGCTATACCTAAGGAGAAACAGGGAACAGATAGTGTGAGGCAGAGACTAAAATTGTTGGTTCTTTTCTCCCCATTCACATTTTCCCTTATTTGATTCTACATACATTCTTCTACCATCCTCAGCCCCATAATATCGGAGCACTTTCCTGTAGTACATTGTCACATGACCAATATCTGTATGATCAAGGGTGGTTATGTACCTTCGCTTTTGTCAAATATGTTTACTACACTTCTCACAGCTTGCTTTTAGGCATACAAAATACAACAACTTACGATGTATTTTCTCCACAGAGCTACTAATTCCTCTTCACTCTTCGGCTTCTCCTCTGACTCCAGGTCATTTTCTAGTCTTTGTAGCATCTTTCTGAATTCCTGGACCTCTGCTTCCAACTGTCTGACTTGGGACTGAAAGGCACTTTCTGACTTAAGGATCTTATGTATTCTCTCCTCTTCCTCACCACATATTAGTTTCAACTTTTCCAGGGCTTTCCTCAACTCCTCCAACTCATCCTTCATCTTCCCAGCTCCCAGGGGGGATGTGTTCTGGATCACCCCTGTAGACTGAACCTCCAGGCATTTCAATTTCTTTTCACCACGCTTAACATCTTTGGTAATGTTCTGAAGAAAGAAGGAAATCAGAAAGCATTAAGTGGAAAGAACAGTGGGGTGGGGTGCAGGGGGTGGGGAAATGACACCTGATAATATTTACTTTTATCTGTGTATTTATTTTCTTCTCCAATTGTTGTTTCAAGGCATGTCACTTATGAAGTGGCCAGCTGCCAGATTTGATATACTTATTTGCAATTTGTAGCCTTATGATTTAGATAATATAACAGCAGGAGCATGGCTTCCCAAGAACTAGAGGAATCTTTTAAAACTGTTGGGTCTGATTTTCAAAAGTGTTCAGCACCCACAGTGCCAGTGGAAGTCAACAGGAGCCACATGTACTTGGCATCATGGATACTCAGGCCACAGAGGTGTCTAAAGTTTAGTAGCCCAAACTAAGGCACCCAAAATTGGAGACCACTTGTGAAAAATTGTGCCGTTAACAGTGTCACCAACCCCAAGCATTCAAAAATCACGAGTCAGGCCCATCCTAAATCATTAGATTGGCTTAAATCATTAGATTTTAAAAAATAATAAAGGTCAGGGTTGTTTTTATTTCTCTTCTGGCCCTTGAGCCTCTGCGCTACATTCAAATCATGTTTATATGCTTCTCTTTTTAACCAGGAAGGCTAGAAACTTACATTTCTTTTTTTTAATGAAAGCTCAGATTCTTGTGTAATCACATGACTCCAGGAACTGGAGCTTTAAGAAAAATGTCAAATAGTATGAGACTCATGATAAAATTGGGAGAGTTGTCAATGGTGTGTTAATGACCGCACAGAAAGTGGCAGACCTGGACAACTCATGATTCAGGACGCCTTCTTTAGCCATTTCACCAGAATTTGTTTTAAACACCTCTCTTTTAAATATCCCCCTTTAATAAAGACAATATGCCTTTCCCCCCCTCCTCCAGATTTCTGCCCTGAGCCAAATTTGAACTTGCAGTGCTTGAATTCTAGACCCATAGCATACTTTCAGAGCCACATGGATCTTATGAATACACTATTCTGTTAAATACTTGTATGATTTGGGGAATATACACAAGAAGGGATTCAGATGAGGAGAATGCATTTCTTAGCAGCGCTCTCCCTCCCCTACTAGAACTGCATTATAAAGAACCTGCAATGTCTTTAGCCCATTGTCTGCTGGCAACTTTGTTGTTTCTCCGATGCAGCTGTTCAATCTTTCAGTCACGCCATTCAGCCACGATTGAAATTGGTCGACATTGGTCTTGTATTGTTCATGTTCCTTCGTTATCTTTTCAAGCAATTTAACTCTGCACTGTAACAAGAAACGTCCAAAACGGTGAGGACAGAGCTTATCTGTCTCTTCATAGGTTGCATTTTTAATTAGGAAAACAGAGTCCATTTCCTTTCACCCCCATGTCACTCAACCTTTTCAGGAATTCACACCTCATCTCCAGTATGAGGACAAAAATATGTAAAGCTTTCTCCCATTCTTGGCTGTGCTGTAGCATCTCAACGTTTATTCAGAGAACAGAAGATGGCAAGGTCCTGTGAGGTCAGTGCCTTGCCTCGCCTCCCCTTTCCAAAGCTTCATATTTTTCATTAAAAAGCGGTATTATCCTTTCCCAACTTTGCTTTGAAACACAGATAATATATGGGGCCAGCCTACAAGCTACGGTGACAGCCTCCATGCTGGCAAAAAGTATAGGATTACTCTGTCTAATCATGCCTGGGGCATGTAAATTATTTCACAGCATTTGCCATTTAAACAAGATGTAAAGAAACGACTATATTTGCAGCATTAGAAACTCTGCAATATTTTTAGCATCTATGGTAACCTCCAAAGACTTTGCTTTCATTGGCACAATATATAGGGCCTGGCAGTGTTTGGCTCTGCACAAACTAGGGACAGGGTGCAAGGAGACATCTCTCTGCACACATCTTGTGCCCCTATGCAGGGGCCAGAGACAGGGCTGGATCCTGGGATCTGGCGGATCTACACAGAGGCTAGGTCACTGGTCTAGGGGGAAAAGTGACTCAAAGCTCCCATCTGCTCTCCCCTGACCCTGGGGTTGCTCTGTGCAGACCCCTGCATCAAGCTGGAATAGTCTGAGGACTCCTCTATCTTGTGTCCTCTGCAAACAGGCCCAGCAGTCTGAAGACACCATGATATAGGAGCATTCTGGCCATGTCACCTCTCCTTCAGCCATGCCAGCAGCACGGAAGCAGAGAAATGCATGAGCCCATATGTCAGCTCCAGCCACCAGAGGATCACCCTTGTGCTGGGATAATCCTCCAGGGCCAGTCCCCCTTGCTTTAGGGCAAGACTGTCACAGTGGTACAATACAAAGCAGCTACACCACACTGGAGAATCTGCCCCACCGTGACAGTCTTTGCAGTCAGAAGGCAAAATTCTGATCTCAGTTACATGGAGTATTGAAAACTCTGTTGAAATGGGAGTCTGTCCTTTAAATTTCAGGGTGCATTTCTGATCCTGCAGGCTAGGGAGCTGCGTAGGGAAGCGTGTGATCTGGGCCTGGCCTAGCCTAGTGTGAGGGATCATAGACCTCAAATCAAGCCTTGCACATAGTGCGGCAGATCCCTGGCTGGTGTCCATCTGTATAGCTCAATGGACTTCGCTGGGGTTATTCTAATTTGCACTAGCTGAGGATTTGGCAGAGAAAGTGAAATGAAGACATAAATACACAAGGGCAGGAAGTGCAAACTGTAAAAACTCCCAAGCGGCAGGATTGAAATCTGATTGATAAACAGAATTATGGTGAAAATGTACTCCAGCATCTTACAGTAAAATTACAAAGGTTGATTAAGGAGGAGATGCACAGCTTAAATTGAGAAGTAGCTTAACCTCTGTCTGGGACAAGCTGTTTAACCAAAATGAAGCAGTCCAAGGCTTGGAAATTACTGCTGAAAATGTTACGATCCATCAGGTCATGTGATAAATGACACACATTTGAACAGACACAACACTGTGCTAAGCTATCATATGAAAAGCTAACCAAGGGCAGGCTGAAAACCTGCCAGACTGCTAGACAGGGCTACCTCTGAGTGCAACTTTTAATGAAGAGAAAGATGCTGCCATTTGCTCTGTCAGGCAACTCATTATTCTTTTCACTGAGAAGCCACACAAAAGGAGCATTAACTCTTGCCTTCTGCAGAAGCACTTGAATAATCAGAGAACATCTACCAGCCAAGATGTGGCATAGGGAGGAATATTTGTACTGACAAGAAGATAACAGATCCCAAGCAGGCTGCAAGATGAGGAATACTAAGAGATGACATTGTGAAGAATATATGCAGGTTTTTGGTTTCATATTCAGGACATGCTTTTGGTGCACCGTTACCCAAGAGATAAAGCATGAAGGTCTGCCCCATTCTCTGGCCTCTATGGGTATGTCTACACTGCACACTAAGCCCAGGTCTGTGGGACCCAGGCTTGTAGATGTGGTGTTTCCAAATCAGAGTTTGAGTGTTCACACTGTATTGTAAACCTTGCTTTACAATTGCTGGACCCATGTCTCAGAGCTGTGCTAACTCATCCATACAGCACTACGCACACCTTCTGACTCAGGTCTGCAGCCGGACCTGGGTCCGCAATGCAAAATGACAGGGCTTGGACTTGGATCACAGCAGGAATCAGGCTTTGACCCACTCCCCTAGCGGGACCCTAGGACCCGGGTCTTGAGCGTTTGCTGACTCGAGTCAGACTGATGTGCATGTGGACAGAAGTGGGGCTTGGGCTCAAACCTGAGTCAGAGCCCAGGTTTAGTGTGCAGTGTATCTGCCACTCCAGCAACAAACAGGGGCTGTAAGTAGCCAGCAAGCAACTGGGGGAGAATGCTCCTGGTGCAGGAACTCTGTTGGGCCTCTGTTGGCTTCCTGCAAGCATTGGTACAGGAGGTGTGTGGGGGCAGTTGTGGGGCTGGAGACAGAAGAGAATGTATTGGCACAGAGCTGTACAACATGCTACCATGGCCATTCTGGCTTGCGCTGCAAGCCACAGGGAGCTCTGCAGAGGACGCCATACTTAGGGCTGCCTAAATTTTGCTAGAGGTTGTTTCAGCCCCTGAAGCAGCCCAGAATTGGGAGGGCGCCAAAAATGATTTGAAGCCACCCTCTGCCACTCTCTCCCTCTAACTCACATGGGATTGTCTGAGAGTAGAATGAAAGACTGAGCCAAGAACCTGTAGGTTTAATTTAAGAGAACCAACATGAATCAAAATTTTTGTATTTTGCACCAGCCTAGATTGAGTATGTGTTGAAACTTCATACATCACTACTGTTCCTGCTATACAAGGAAGAGAGGATGTCTCAGTGGTTATTTATATTTAGACGACATTCTTGGCTAGTACTAATAACTCTTTTGGGGGGAGAGGGGGAGAGAATTGGCTGCTGTGTGTAAAAATGTTACAACAACTGTAATTAAAAAAAATTCTGGTGAATATAATTTTTAATTTGGGAGTGTAAGGATACTCAGTGGCAGCAAGAAAATATGTTAACTCACTGGAGAAGTAATATCACAGTTAAAGCATTTGAGAAATGGAATCCACTTGCTCAGCCTGTGACAGAAACTGGCAACTGCAGGAGATCTAAAAAAGCTTCTTGAGTACTAGTGAAATTTACAAGTACCAGCAAGCTGTCTCCTGTAGCCAGCTTGGGAATTCAGCTGTCATTTGCAATTTACATGAAGCCTAGCCCCCCATCATGAGAGGGACTGAGACAACCCAGATTACTGGATCTCTTTCATTCAGTCCTCCCTCCCACTGTGAGAGGTAGCAAAGGTTCCTTCAGCTACCATTATTCACTTCCTGGCAAGACTCCCAAGCTGCCTCTAACCTTGGAATTAGCCAATGAGTCCCCCATTTATTTCAATCACAAAAACTAACGTTTTCCACCACCCTTCCACCCGCAGCCTCCAGAGGTTTTTCAACTGGATTGTTTCACTTTGTCTTTTGGTGCAAGGTGGCATTTGTAGCTGCTTCAGCTGCCTTTTCTAGAGCCTCAGTTAGCTGGAGACATCAGCATGTATTTTATCTAAATACAGTGGGCCTGATTCTGATCTCTCAGCAGCAACAATCAGTGTAAATCTATGCTGGTGTCACACTAGCCTAAGAGATCTGACTCAGGCTCTCTGTATTCAGATAATTTGTTTGAGGGAACTGGCTAGTCCAAATATCAAACTGCACAACACAAATACTAGCTGTTCATGGATCAAAGACAAACCCTTGTTTAGAGGGAAATCACTAAACATTTAAATTGGGAATCTGGTGAAATTTATAATCCCAAGAGTTGAATTGCCAGGAGCAAAAAAGGGTGTTTTTAATGAATGGATTTACTCTGCAACCTGACTTTGATTAAATGTTTCTTTAGATGTATTTATGGCTAGAAAGTGTGACTGCAGCAGCTGCAGGCACAGAATGGGAGTTTATAATTTTTTAAATATTTTAAATGAAAAAGTAACTCAAGTTCATCCTCATGAAAGATTCTAGCCCTGGAGACTCAAAGCTTCTGTTTCCCATAGAACCACAAACTTCCCCACATAGCCCCTCCAATGAGACTCCATGATCCCCTTGGATGATGACTTCTTGGGATGAGAGTGTCCACCAATCACCATGACCACCCAATCCTTGGCCTGGGTGGAGAAGTGGGAAAGAAGAGCAGGTGTCATGGTTGTGCAGGCAGATGATAGAGCCCATGTAATGGAGTTCAGTTTTATTAACTCCAATTGTTTGGATTAGTCAGTTACCAGACACTGGAATGGCCGTTCTTCCCTAAGGCAAATCCAAAGCCACTGATGTACAAAGGCTACTGTTCAGGTGGCTGGATATACCCTAGATATGTCCTTGATCTACTCTCATTACTCTAGAATCTTGAGCATCCCTACATGTAAGACTCTCCTACCCACGAAAGGCAAATCCTTGTCCCATAGCCAGATCCTTCCCACCAGCTGTGGAAATGAAGGGTATTGTCTCATCTCAGGTTTCAGAGTAACAGCCGTGTTAGTCTATATTCACAAAAAGAAAAGGAGTACTTGTGCCACAAGTACTCCTTTTCTTTTTGTCTCATCTCAAACCTTCACCCAAACCAACTATCAAAGTGAGTCACAGACATGAAAACTTGAATTATAATGTTGACCATCCTCCTGTCTAATGACCACTGTACCTCTGGGATTGAGGGCAGGTGCAGGCTGGAAAATGAATTAGCATCTATTGAAAATCTTTTAGCTATTAGCGTTGGCTGCCTATTCTTTGTGTCGGAAAAGCATTAATTGCTTGCCAGCTCTGAGATTATGGTGTGTGAGTCTTGATCTGGGGATTTGTGTTATAGCTTCAAATGAGGGTGCAGAGTTGGGATGCTTCCTCATCTCCTTGGATGGATTACTTTGCATCAAGATCACTCTGAGATCTTTTATTTACCAAAGGGCAGGGAAGCATTTGCTTTGGGATTGCTTGTATTAATCTTGCCCTGTTAAGATCACTCAAACCTTCTGTGCACTATAGATACATTCTTTTCCCATGAACCATATTGCGGAACTCCTTGCTCTCATATCAGAAACACTAACAGTAAATAATACAGGATAGTAACTGGTGAGCATCCTAAACCCTCCTCTCTTTTATAGTTGCATTTTACCTGAGCTTCTGTCTTTATTTCTTCATATTCCACCTTCATCTTCTTTTGGACATCCTCATCGACACTCGGGTCACCTATCCTGTTAAACAAGGAAGCAGCTTCCTCCAGCAGCCTTTCCAGCAGGACTGACTGATTTAGGACATCATTCAACAGAACCTGGGAGTGGCTCAGCTGCCATTGCTTCTCCTTTAAACCGAGCTGCAGTTCTATGTCAGGCTCCAAGGTAACCTTCATGTTATGAATCCAGACGTAAAACTCATCCTGGGCTTTCAAGTATTCACTCCAGTGCAGCCACACCCATTCGATACGGCTGTTGGGGAAAGTGAGAAACAAGATACACGAGGTTCTCCCAGCACCAGTGGAGAGCGAGGGGAGTTCAAGATGCTTTAAAAAATGTTGGTAATAAAGAATCAGATTCTCAGACAGGGTAAATCAGCCTAGCTTCTTTGACTTCAGAGTGTCACAATCCACTTCCCAGCTGCCCCTGGCTGTGGGAAGAAGTACCCTGTGCTAGCCCTGTGCCTGGCAAAGATTATTTCTCAGGTCACTGGACTGGCGTATTGTGGGTAGATGTAGAGCCAAGGTTCCACCTACTTTCTGCTCCTTTCCAACATAAGCATGGGACCCCTGTGAAGGCTCCTCTCTCTCCCACACAGCACAGGTTGTTAGAGCAGGGAGTAAGGCGGCATTGTCTGAGAGAATTAGACAAGCCACAGTCTGACCCAATATATCAAATACAGTCTTTGTGGAAACAGCATGTGTCCTACCTGTGGCAGTGAGTAATGTAGATGGCTGTTTCTTCCCACATGGCTTTAATGTCTTTCAGTTTGGCTAGTATCTCATGCTTTTCCTCCTCGCTGATACAGCGAAGAAGGGCATCTGCTTTTATCAGGACCAAATCCATTTTCACTCGACCTTCTGGCTCCAACGCACAAATTTTCTATTAGAAAACACAAAACTGAAAACATTGAAAAAAAGAGAGCCTGCCAGTGCGGTTATTGAATTAGAACTTTGCTTTCATATGGAAATCATTACATCCTTGCTGGAAAACTCCTACAAAATTTAATAGAAATAAGAACTTTCCTACTGGTTTTTTCAATATTCGTACAGGGTTTAATTAATGGAGAAATATATCCCTGTTGTAAAGTAGTTAGCACCACCAACAGAAAGTAGATCATTAACTTCTGTAGGTTTTCACGGTAATTTCTACGCAGCCCTGTTGGGTTTGTGCCTACTAAGTGCTATCGGACTTGCCTGTAACAACAGTGTCTCCACTACTGCTACAGATCTATTGTACTGCATAACCACATGACGTCTAATTCACTTTCTTGGAGTAAGTGCAGAGGAGACACTATTCACGGGAAACATTGAGCAAAGCCAGTATTGTAAGTTGCACCAGAACATGCCATAGGAGCTGCACCAAAAAGCAGTTTGTTGCAAATCACAGAAGACATACTCTGAGCCACCCTATAAAAAGAATAGAGAATTATATCTCTGCTATCAAATTCTATTTCCACACAAAAACACGTTGTGTATCAGTTAAGGCCCCGTCACCTACATGCATACCTAACACAAAACCTACAAGCAAGGAAATGAAAGTTGAGCCACCTAACACTATGTATCTTCTACTCTTCCACCCAGAGACAAACCTAACCCTTCGCACAACCACACCACCTTAATTCTGTCCTAATAGTGTTGTCAGCCTTCCAGCAGCACCTTCCCACTATCAGGCAGGACACTAGACTTCCTTTCCCTGCTGTCCCTCCTCACAGTTCTGGGAAACCACACTCATTCATGGTGGGGGAAGGGGTGCCAAAAGGAAAATGCTGAGACATTCAAAATCTGAGGTCACTTTTGAAGACGTAGGCCTAAGTGATTTGTCCGGAGTGATTTACCTATTACCCATAAATACATCATTTGATTATTTACTTGTAAAAAACAAAAACAGAGCACGGGGGAAAATAGAAACCACACCCAGCAAACAATAGAAAGATTCAAAACCAAAACTTAGTCCAGGCTTCAGTCTTGTTCCTGCTTGAAGTGACTTGAAAGCAAATGAGCCCAGGATTGAGAAAGCTGTGGTTGGAGTTGGCACTTTTTTTAACAATTACTTTCTTTGGCTGGCATTTTTGTTAGCAAATTAACAGAAAATAAATCATAGGGAGGAAGCCTGAATAAATGCAAGCCAACTGGGAAAGAGGCACTTGGAACAGATGTTTTTATTTAAAAAAAGGCAGGCCAGAAGGAGACATCAGCTGGGTGGCAGAGAAGGAAGAGGGGAAAGGAAGGGCAGAACTAAAGAAGAGCCACTTGCTTTTTGTTTAATAATAATGATGGATTTCCAATATCCAGATTGAAAAAGCTACTATAACAAGGATTTTCTATCCGTTATGACCCTGTTCCAAAGTCCAACAAAGGCCTCAGACTTTAGATCAGCTCAGGTAAGATCATCACAAACCACACAATCTTCATTCTTGTGCTCTGTAATGTCAACAGAACCCCTTAATAAACTGTCTCCCACAGCACTGACTTTCCTGAATTCTCTGCATGCATTATGATGTTGTGTGTATCAACATTCCTTATGCAAAAGGTAAGGGCTATGCTCATCCAAAAGCAGAAACAAATCCACAATGAAACAGGAACTTCCAGCCTTTGTGATGGCTATGCAAGTCTGCCCATCACCACCAGCTCGCTGATGAGTCTCTATGCTAGGCCTGGTACATGCTCCAACCCACAATGAACCCCATTTGAGAAAATGGTCCTGAAAATACTGCAATGCCATTATATAAACCACCCCATCAGGAGTGCCATTGTCAGGGCTAGTCATCCCATCTCAAAAACAGAGGGGGTTCAAAGATGGGATGGGGGGCAAACATGACTAGATGCACAGAAAGATGTTCATCTGAAGAGAAACAGAGAAGGCTGTTTCGTTCAGAGAACAGGCCTATCACACGAAAATATGAAAGAGGTATAGAAAATAAGCTAGTGCGATGGGGTATACAAACCCCACACTGGGGAACACAGGGTTAATGAGCTATTATGGGCTAAGCTGGCCCTGCCTTGCCACACCTGTGAGAGATGTGAGACTTGAAGGGAGGATTTTAAAAAGGTAAAACAAAGCACAGTTGGTGGCAGAGCAGACCTTGTGGGAACTCCTCAGACCAGTGTGGCCCAACAGCTACTCCCTGATGAAAGGGACGACCCGATGCTGATCCACTTTTGCTGGGACTGTTCTTCCATGTTAGCCTGTGAGCCTTGTCGGGACCACAGGAGCTTAACAGAAGCCTTCTGAAGAAAGAGCCTTACCACATCTGTGGGACAGTCCATTTGTGTTCATTATTCTTGTGTTTGTTGCAACCCTGAAAGGAGCAGCCTGCCCAGAGGGGTGAGCCTCTTATGACTGGACTGGCACAGTGGAACACTCAGGCATCTCAGAGCAGAGGCCCAAGTCAGTGCAAAGGCCCAGCCTGGGTGTGCCCTGGGGAAGGATGCAGTGATACTAGTCTCATCCTACTGCCCCACTATAATAGTGAATGGTATAGCTGGGGTAGATAGGAGCAGCCAGTTTTCTCAGTGTTCAAGAACAAGAGACAGCAAATGAAATTGAAAGGCAACACAATTAAAATGGATAAAAGGAAACACGATTTTTTAAACACACAAGGCATAATTCATCTGCCACAAAATCTGAGGACAAGAGATTAACAGGATTATACAAAATATTATCTGTCTACATAGATAATGCGCAGATTCACAATTCCATTAAAAAGAGGAGAGCTATAACCCCACTCACTGACAGGGTTTAGGAAGAAACTTGCCCTACAGACAGATTATTCCCTAACTGTCCATCCCTGGGATTCCGGTACCTTTCTTGATAGCATCTGGTGTTACGCAGGGTTTCTCAGAACCCAAAACAGTGGTAACTTAACTGTCTCTCTCCAGGCAGGGTCAGGAATAAATCAGTGGGGGGCACAGCTCATCCAGCTGATAAACAATTGATACAAACCAGGAGTGCTTTCATCTAAAATTACCATTTTTATTACATCTCAAATGTGTGTGCACATGTGCACACAAACACACACACAGCTGCAGTAGGGCTAGAGCAGAGGTTCTCAAACTGTGGTCTCTGGACCACTAGTGGTCCGCAAGCTCCATTCAGGTGGTCCACAGATAGTTTCCTCTAAGGTGCGCGCCTGGGCACACAAGAGAATGAAGAGCCACCCACCTAATTAGTGGAGCCACACAGGCGTGGCTCCACTAATTAGGTGTCTGGACCCTGGAGAAGACTCACATGTAAGGTGAGGTGGTGGCCTTGTGGGGAATAGAGGGAAGGTGGGAGGGGGAAGTGGGATGAGAAGAGGGGGTGGGGGGAATCTGGGACTTGCGGGGCTGCGGCGGCCAGAGAAAGAGGCGACTTTCCCCAACTCCAGAGCTGCAGCTGCTGGGGAGAGATGGCCCTCCTTCCCAGCCTCCGCTCTGTGGCTGCTGTGGCGGGGGAGAGACCCCACCCCCTTCCCTGCCCCAGCTCGGGGGCTGCCACGGCAGGGGAGAGAGGGCACATCCATCGCATTAGAAAGGTAAGACTACTGATATTAAAATATGAGTTGTGTGCTTTTATTTGTAGAACAAAAACCATTAATTATTATTCTTTTTTATATATATATATATAGCGCTTTTATCCAAAGCGCTTTACAATAGTTGGCTAACGGTACAAACAACATTTGGAAAGATCATTAAGTGGTCAGCAATTTTCAAGTGGTCCGTAGAAAAAAAAGTTTGAGAACCACTGGGCTAGAGCATTTCAAAACAAGTATATTTCCCTACAGTTAAGAAATGGTTTTGAGGAATCAGTGGCCCGCCTCCCAGGGGGCCCCGCCTTCCAGCTAGCTGCTGGGGAAGTTAGCTGTTAGATCCTTGCCCAAAGAAAGCTTCCTTGGAATGCTCCAAAGCATATTCTTTCACCTAATCTTTTATAGCTAAACTTCAAACAAAGCACACAACCTATAGTGACTCAAAACTACGCATTATCTCTTATCATCAAAACATTTCTAGTCATAGCAATGTGTCTGGGGCACTTAAAACCTAGGTCACTATTCACTCACTCTCTTCCATACTTGTTAACTTTCTGCCCCATCCTCCCATTCTAATTAAAAAACTGCAAGTATGCAGCTGTCTGACCTGGCCTCATAAAGGCCCAAGATTTTCCTAGCTATGTTTGGTTTTCAGCAGGCAGTGGCTGAACATACAAAATTGCTGACTGCAGCATTATCAAATTCTGGGGTAACAATAGTATCTTCCCCTGTCAGAGGCAGGACGTGGGATGAAATGGGCTACTGGTCTCATCTGGTAGCATCGTTTTCTGCACTGCATTGGGTGGTTGCAAACCCCAGTCTTGTGACTGCGAGAAGCAACTAAACCTCCATTTTAGCATGCACAAATGAATGAGTGCTGGGTGCAGCAGCTGAGATCTCAGTCTAGTAAATCAGGATTGCTGCTAGTCTTCCAAATACACATGAAAAGTCTGGAAGCATCTAATCTAACAACAGGATGTAACCCCCACCCCCACCCCCTCACATTCTATTCCCTTTTCTTAAGGCAGCGGTAAGTGGCTTGCAAAAGAAGAAGCTGGAGAGAATGCTGAAGAGATCCTGCCCAAATGGGACCAAACTTACAGCTCGTGAGACTATTTTCATGCCCTATCCCACCTTAATCATCTCCTAATGGCAGCCTCTCCATGACTCCTGGCAGCCCCTGCAGTGCCAATGCCACTTGTGAATATGTCTCTCAAAAACGCAATATGAGTCTTCCCCTACCTCAGTCTCTCTTAGCCTGGCTTCCAGGGCAGACCGAGGTCCCTTGGTGTTATCATTGATCCGCAGTCTCTCCTGGATGGCTTTCATCCAGGCTTCTGCATTCTCCACACTCATGTCAAATTCATCCTGGGGCTGCTGAGTCATTGCATTAGTGGAAACTGAAAGGATAAAGAAATGAGGAATTAAAAACAAACAAACAATTCTCTTCTCAGGAAAGTCTCTCACAGTCTTAAGGAGCAGGGAAAAGAGGAAAATAACTTTACTGATCTCTTTTTGATTAATGGCATCAAAATGCACAACCCACAGTAGTCCTACATCTCTATGTGAGACTCAACAGAAGTGAGTATGGAGTAAAAGCTCAAACTTAGAGCTTCTAAAATGAAAGTATACACGGGAACAAGATGAAGTTGGGGCACTCCTTTAAGCTCTGTGATTTGGGCTGACATTCAAAGGGATAAGAGTCACTGCATTTATTTGAAAACCAAATTAGGCTAATTTGGTGCTTGTGAAACGTACCAGACTGGACACTAATGTCCTTTGTATTTTCACAGAAAATGCACAGTACAGGCAGCGGGAATATAAATACGTCCATCAACATGACTCTCTCTAAGCCCATTTAGGGCTCAGCCCTGCAATGTACTGAGCACTTGGCCCTGACCTAGCCAAGCACTTGAGTGTGTGCTTAACTTTAAACAGAACTGTCTCAGTGAAGTTGGCCAGATCAAGCCAAAATACTCAGCACCTTGCAGTTAATCCACTCTGCTGAAACTTCTAAGGAGGCAGACAGTCAGAACAAGTTGTGGTGATGGTTTTGTGATACGAACCCCATTCCTGCAGGAAGCAGGCGGAGACAGCTAACACAGATCACTAGTCAGTCATCAGATGGGAACATCTTTCAGTGCCTATGCACTTTGGGTGGATTTGAACTGGGGACTTATAGATAAAAGGCTCCGTGGACTAGAATCAAAGTCAACATAAAGAGGCTCCTGGAGTTCAATGGGTTTTGGATCAAGTCCTACACCCACTGCCAATGCCTGTCAGCCAGTTTCTCCCTAATGAAAATGTCATGCCTATTTGTTATCCACAATTGAATGCCTTTCTTTTAAAGGTCCAGAGGTAATTACTGAGGCTCCATTTTTGCCACTGTTACTCTGACCAAGTAGTACTTTACTCGTTCCCACTGATTTCCCTGGGACTGCTCCCATGCAGTCCAGTACTGCGCAACGTGAGCAAGGGGAGGCAGAGTATGGCCCTTGGTGAATCCAGCCCAGGATTTCTGATAACATCTTGAAATTGGAAGACACCCTGATCATAACCGCTGAGGGGGGGAGAGTGACCTGTTTATATCCCCATCCTCCACTTCCTCTATACACCCCCACCCCTAGCTTTTCACTAGCCTGCTGCTGTTCCTCTCAGTGTGGTGGCAGGGCATGAGCATTCTCACACGCTTGTCACAGCTGCAGCATCACCCTGAATTGGGGGCCAAATGTGCACTCCTCTGTGCTCATGGGGGTAGCTGTGCTGGAGATGGGATTCACCCTAGGCAAGGGAGTAATACTGCTACTACCCTCCACTGCGAGGTCTCCTGGTGGAGGGCACAGGCCAGGGCTTGGTAAGAGCCCGCAAAGGCAAAGGCTGCCCAGGGGAGACGCTGGCTCGCTCCATTTCCCAGACAGCCTGACCTGCGTATACCCTTGGTAGTTGTGGCAGCTGGGTCCAAGCCCCACAATAAAGTAGGGGATGTGGGTGGGTTGGCCTGCTACGCTCTTTCTTCTACTGGGCCCAGTTTGACAAGCTGACCTACCTAGCAGACCAGGTTCACATAAGGACTGGTGCTCAGCGGGGGCGATGGAAGGATTGTGCGTGGGAAGGATTTGGCCTGCGTAGGAAGCCTCTAGGAAAGGAAATGGGTAGTCCTAGGTTGCACAAACCCTCCTGTGACAGAACCAGGAGTGAACTCATTCTCAAGGTGCAGGCCAACTGAGAAACCTGTCTTGGAAAATCAAACCTAGTTCTCGTAGAAACGGTTTAAGAAATATCTGTCAGCAGGGCTGGACAACAAATGGTCCTATCTTATATATGTTCTATGAGTTGTCCAAACCATCTGGACACACGTGAAGGAAGACTTATGGGCTTCAGTGAGGACTGAGGCACTGCTCATGCTACTCTGTGTAGTTTAGTTTGAGGGATGAGCCAGAGGCACAATCCTACAGACACTTGGGTCTGGTGTGACTGGAACAGCCTCCCGTCTGAGATCTATAGAGGTGACTCTTAGAACAATTTTTATATAAAGATTCTAATTTATGTATGTATTAATTTATAAAGCGCATTGATAATGGAGAAATCTGTGACAGCATAATTAATCATAAGAAATCAAGGTGCAAATAACAAAGCACTGAACAAAGCAGTCACCCCCTGTGGGACAGTAAAGGCAAAAGAGAGGAGAATATTCCAAGATACTGAGAGAGAGGCAGTCTATCTGGCTAACGCAGGCCAGCTCCTCAGACATATCCACGGGTTATAAAAATTATTTGAGGGCTGAGTTTTAGTAATTTGGTAAGTGGAAAATATTAGAGATGGGCCAAAACTGGACCCATTTAGCTGATCCACTTTTCCCATTCCTACCTCGCCCCTCCCCACAGCTCTGACCTCATCTCTTCCCCCCAGAAAAAATAAACCTTGGACACTTAAATAAATAGGGATCAGGTCAAAAACAACTCTGATTTTACCAATAAAATACTGAGCCAGATACGGAGCTGTAGCTAAGCTCTGCTCAGCACAGCTCAGGAGAAAGGATATAAAGGTAGCTTAATCACACATGTGCACTCACAAGGCCATGGACCTACCGGGCTCTCAGTCTAGTCCCTTGTATAAATTAGAGCAGCCAGAGGCACCGTTCTGGCTGCAGGGGATCATTGGGGCATAGGGATGCCTGGCTGTGCTCTTATTTCCCTGGCCATACCTCTGCACAACCGCTGGAATGTTGCTGGTGTAAAAGCTGTTCTACATCACCTGAATAATCCCTTGTCTCAAGGATTCAGTGGCAGGCTTAACTGGGTTTAGAGTCAGAGCAGCACAAGCACCTGCCAATATTGGTGTAGGCATACCTGATTCTGTCTCAGAACAGGGGGGTGGACTAGATGACCTCTCAAGGCCCCTTCCAGCCCTACATTTCTATGAAACCAGCTTTCATGTACCAGAGGATCTGGCCCTCTATCTGCATCATGTTCTCTGAATTTCCTAAAGTACTTTTTTTTTTTTAATTTATGCATCTAGTTTAACTCTCTTTCAAACAGGTTTAACAGCCCTCATCGGGTATTGTGAGGTTTAATTAGTTAGTGAGATCCTTCAAAGTCACTCTTTAAGTGCAATGTATTTTTGGCAATATTATCATTATTTTTCCAAGTTTCCCAATATACTTTTTTTCTCCCTGCGAAGCCATTCTGCTTTTTCTAACTTAACACATTTTTCATAATTGATCCCTTTCTTAAACATACTTTTAAACCAAACATTCATAGTGCACTGGCTTTTAAATGGTTTCAGTATGTCTTGAATTCCTGTGCTCATGTACTACTTGACTCACTTCCAGAACCAAGCTCTCTGACAAATAAAAAGAGAGGGAAAGAAAAGCGCTCCAGGAAAGTTAAATCACTCGCCAGGAGGGACAGTATTTTCCAGTTATTGAAATACTTCAAGCTTTTCATAACTCTTTCCATTTGGAAGAGATCAGGGTTCTGGGTTTGCACATGAGAAGTGTTTTTAAAACACTGCAGTGTGTCAAATTTTATACAAATGCACAAGTGTGGAAACTATTGTGGTTCTGGAAATTGTTTGGTACTTGGGTTCTGGGGTAATTTAATAACTGCTCAGCTGTCCTGGATATTGTAAGGAGAGTTCTGAGAGAGAGAGAGAGAGACAGTTGTAGAGGAGCATAAGTCTTTTGAAGTGGAGATGGAATTAGCATATACTACTGTAGAAGCGACACATCAATCTCCACGATTCCAAAGCTGAGAGTTCTTGGCATACTAAGGGCTTGTCTACACTACAGCACAGGGTCGATCTAAGATACGCAACTTCAGCTACATGCGCAGTGTAGCTGAAGTCGATGTGCTTAGATCTACTTACTGCGGTGTCTTCACTGCAGTAAGTCGACAGCTGACACTCTCCCGTCGACTCCGCTTGTACTTCTCGTTCTGGTGGAGTACCGGAGTCAATGGAAGAGTGCTCAGCAGCCGATAAATCAACCCACACTGGATCGATCACTGCCCGCCAATCTGGCGGATAGTGTAGACAAGCCCTAATAAATTTACTGCTCTCAATCATGCTACTATTAGCACATACATCCCTATATAAAGGACTAGATTACTTCAGGTGGAATGGTACTCACAGCAGAGCTAAATTTGGTCCACTTTGAGTAAGTGGAGAAACTCTTGAGATTCTGGTAAGCATTAGCTGTACCCCAGCAATCTGTAGCTTAACCATTTTTTGGGGTTCAGGACATTAACCCTAGAACCTTGAACATCTTCCAAGGCAGTTTTTTTCTGTACTATTTGTGGTGAATGTTTATGACCATCAGGAACTGTTTGTCCAAACTAATGTACTGAAGAAAAAACACATGCTGGGTGTTCTTGGAACAATCACGTCCATTTCCTGCTTAAAGTTTATGGCTATAGCCAACTGGTTGTCACACGGGTGGCAGAGTGTAGAGCATTTACTTGCAGCACTGCCATTTCCTTTCCTCTCCAAACAATATCCACTCTCAAGGGAAACCCATAGCTACTTGACAAACCCAACTGCCACCACGTGATCACAACAGCTATTCTTCAGCTTAACTGACCCCTACCGTGAGTCACTGAACATCAGAACGATAACACAGTTTGTTGGATCTGTTCACCAATTCATAGTAAAGCTAATTCTTTCCAGCACACAGATCTGCTTTAGGCTTGGTCTACACTAGAAAATAAGGTCAGTTTAACTACATCGGCCAAGGGTGTGAAAAAGCCACACCCCTGAGCAGCATAGGGAAGCTGACCAAAGTCCCTGTGTAAACAGTACTAGGTCAAAATGGAAGAATTCTTCCATCAATCTAGCTACTGCATCTCAGAAAGGTGGATTATCTAACTGAATCCCTCTTGTTCTCATAGGTAGCGGCTACACTCAAGTGCTGCAGCTGTGCCGCTGTTGTGTTTTAAGTGTAGACAAGCCCTTAAACTCCAGTGGGAATAAATATAAATGTAATTAATAAGATTGGGACTTTTCAGCTTGGAAAAGAGACGACTAAGGTGGGATATGATAAAGGTCTGTAAAATCATGACTGGTGTGGAGAAAGTAGATAAGGAAGTGTTATTTACTCCTTCTCATAACGTAAGAACTAGGGGTGACTAAATGAAATTAATAGGCAGCGGGTTTAAAACAAACAAAAGCAAGTATTTCTTCACACAACGCACAGTCAATCTGTGGAACTCTTTGCCAGAGGATGTTGTGAAGGCCAAGACAATAACAGGGTTCAAAAAAGAACTAGATAAATTCATGGAGGATAGGCCTATCAATGGCTATTAGCTAGGATGGGCAGGGATGGTGTTCCTAGCCTCAGTTTTGCCAGAAGCTGGAAATGGGCGACAGGGGGTGGATCACTTGATGATTACCTGTTCTGTTCATTCCCCTCTGGGGCACCTGGCATTGGCCACCATTGGAAGACAGGATACTTGGTTAGGTGGACCTTTGGTCTGACCCAGTATGGCTGTTCTTATATAATATCCCCTCACTTTATAAAATTGCTTTTACACTTCCATAATTTCCAGTTCTAAGAAGCCATTTGCAGAAGTATGGACCAATAATTTTCCTCTAAAAGGAAGCTGGACTTGTAAATAAATCAAAGCTAAGATCCAGGATTACTCCCTTTTTCACTTCAGGGGTGGCAGCCAGCAGAATTTTGACATTTTAAATCTTCAAAATTTCAAAGTTTTAATTTTGAGGGGGAAAAAGGAGATACTTTTCCTTTTAATTGCAAAATCTACCACTCCCCTTTATTCTGCCACCTCGCTCAAGTAGACATTATCCTGCTGTAATTCGGCCAGATTAGTAAAATGCAGGAGTAAGTAAGGGCACTTCTAATTTCTTTTTATGACCAGTGAAACACTGTACAATATCTGTCTTAAGTATTTATATGGCCCCCATCATCACAGGATCTGAGTCTCTCACAGTCTTTAACGTAGGTATCCTCACAACATCCCTGTGAGGTAAGGCAGTGCTATCGTCTCCATTCAGCAGATGGGGAACTTGTTATAATATGTATAACAAATAGCCACTAGGGGGAGCAGGCAGATAGTCGGATATCAAAACGTGTGGCTGTTCCAGGTTGTGGTGGGTGCGTTGTTGGAACCTGCTGAAAGTGTGGAGCTATTGCAAAGTTATATACTAGTTGACTGAATAAACAGACAGTCAATACTCAAAGAAGCTGCAGTGCATATGGCTTACAACACAACAGAACTGAGGCACAGAAAGGCTAGGTGACTTGCCCAAATCACACAGGAAGTCTGTAGCAGAGCAGGGAGTTGAACCTAGGTCTCCCAAGTCCTGGACTAGTGCTCTCATCCCTGGACCATCATTCCTCTAATATGCTAATATGGAATCCTCAGAACTAAGCGTATCTTCTCCTTCTGCAATTGCCAGTAAAAGGTAACTAGTAGCCTACCTGCAACCTTCAGATTATGAACTTGGAACCCCTTCTGGTGAAACTGTCCAGACTAGATTTCCAATTTCTGCTCAGCTCCCTAAAATAAGAGTTACACCATCAGTCAGCCAAGGGAAAAGCATTGCAAGCCAAGCACATTAGAATCATAGCCCCTGGGGCTAGGGTTTATGTAATTAATTAAATCACACCTGTCTGCTAAAGACTGCACATCCCCACAGTTCACAGCTGGGTGCCATGCAAGGGTACTGATAATATTGACCAATAATGTTCTACAGTGTCTAGGTCTTGGCTGGGACTGGAACTGCAGCTGTGTGAACAATTTTTAGTGAATAACGTATCTGATAAATTTCACCCCTTTTGCTGGTCACGCCTTGCATGTGAACAATCTGTGATTTTCTCACATATGTGTGCTATTCAAAATTATTTTGCCAAATAAATTCTGCAAATTATTCTTGCTCGGCAGATTGTTCTAACACCCAATTCTAATTCTAATTGGATCACCCAATACTCCAGCTGTGCTGATTAGTTTTAATTAGACCCAAAGGTCACATGGTAATCATGGTTACTGTCCTCTGACTGGATGAGAGTAACTCTTATTATTAATGTATTAGTATTTATTATTTGTACTGCAGTAACGCCTAGTATCCCAGGCCCCCATTGTGCTAGACACTGTACAAAGAGAATAACTTACACAGCACCCTACAATGAGCCTGGACGCTTTACGGAACAAATAAGATAAACCCCCTGCCCTGAGGAGCTTATAGTCTAAGTACCAGACCAGACTGAACAAGTGAAAGCAGCAAAATAAAGTGCCTGGAAGTATGGGGATAAGAAATGATGGACAAGGGGCAACAAGGCTTACATGGACACATATATTGGTGTGAACATGCCCCGACAACGCTAATATACATCTCACAAATCATCTTCCTCACTTGGAGCCAGAACCACTCATCCATAGCGGGGGCTAGACATTTCAGAATCTAGAAATATGCCTGAAGCCACCAAGTTCAGATCTTTATCAGATCCAAATGTTCTCAATGTTTGAGTGTTTGGAACTGGGACTCTTTGCTTCAGACCTATCTTATTAAAAGAACTGACTTTGAACCTAATATGCTAACTGCCTATCTCTGTCTGGTGATGGGGAGCACTCAGCACACAACTCTGAAATCAGTGGCCTTTGTAGGTAACCTTCAAGTATATATTAGAAATATGAACATTTACAACTACTGAACATCTGTTCAGAACTTATATGTCAGACCTGATCCTTAATAGGATATCAATGCCTTTTCCCTCTTTAAAAAACAAAAACTTGAAAAAAAAATGTAAGTCCTAATTTTTGCAAATCTTAAAAAAACCTTCATCTTCATGGAAATGAAACTGGCAAAGTTTGCCACTGTTTGGTTTTTAATTATTTTTAAGTTAAAATTAAAATGTAGGTCTGTGGGAATGACTGTCCTATGGAAGAGGGAGTCTGCAAACACAGCCCTATTCTAAACACTGCATTCAAAGCTTAAAATAATTATGTGATCTCTAGAGGATCAAAGCTCATGATCATAAATACATGAACCTGCTTCTATTTACACTACCCAGTGACGGTTTTTTAAGAATAGCATATAACTGCTCCAAGACCTAAAACATTGGAACCCTCTCAAGAGCACATACTCCAGGGTAACTAAAGCTGCATCTAGATAATTCAATAATTCAGACGTTATTCATAACAATATCTGTGTTGAGCTGATGCCAGGGCTTTCTGTTACAAAAATGGCATCGCTTTGTGTTCAAACAAACCCAGACTCTAGAGCAGAGGTGGGCAAACTACGGCCTGTGGGCCACATCTGGCCCACGGGACCGTCCTGCCCGGCCCCTGAGCTCCCCACTGTGAAGGCTTGTCCCCGGCCTCTCCCGCACTGTGTCCCCCACACCCCGCAGCCACACCACCGAGCAGGCAGCGCTGTAGGTGGCGGGGCTGCACTCTCATGCAGGGCAGCACGGCAGCGTGTCTGGCTCTGGCTGGGCGGCGCAGCAGCCAGACATGCTGCTCCGAGCAGCCTGGTAAGGGGGCCAGGAGCAGGGGGTCGTTGGATGGGGTGAAGGTTCGGAGGGGGCGGGGGGGGAGAGGGACAGGGAACAGGGGGTGGTTGGATAGGGCAGAGGTTCTCGGGGGGGAGGTTATGGGGGGGGTTAGATGGGGGTGGGGTCCTGGGGGGCGGTTAGGGGTGGGGGTCCCAGGATGGGGTGGTCAGGGGACAAGGAGCAGGGGCGGTTGGCTGGGTTGAGGGTTCTGAGGGGGGCAGTCAGGGGATGGGAAGTGGGACGGGGGGGGGAGGGGATGGGGGGCAGGCTGTTTGGGGAGGCACAGCCTTCCCTACCCGGCCCTCCATACAGTTTCGCAGCCCCGTGTGGCCCTCGGGCCAAAAAGTTTGCCCACCCCTGCTCTAAAGTAAAGTAAGGTTTGCCTACATCCCAGGTGCAGTAAACGACTGAAGCTGGCAGCAACCTTATCCCCAAGCTCTTTCTTCAGAAACTGAATAGTCCACTGCAAACCGTAAATAGCATCTCAATTAATTTTGAACGGTTGAGAACATTTCTGGAATTGAGTAAAATAGACTGCCTTCCTGTGACTCATTTTTGCCTGAACTCTAGCAGTTTCCATAGCTTAGTCACCCTCCTACTGTGCCTGTATGCCAGGCACTGTGGGTCAGTAACAGAGCAAGCATATGCTTTCAATCCCAAAGACTATTCCTATTAGCCACTGGAGTTTGCGGTTATGCTCAGTTCCACCAAGAGACTGAAAGCCCAACCGAAAGTTCTGTTACTGTATAGTCTGATACTTTTACAGTCAAGGAAGAGGTTCTATATGAGAAGCCGCACTATCTTATCCAGTAGAGCATTAACTAGGGTTGTAAACCTAACAAAGGATCCAATCCTGATCCCCCTGAAGTCACTGCTGGTTTGCCGTTGATTTCAGTGACGGCAGGATTGAGTCTAAAGTTTTGTGTCAGCAGTCCCTTTCCGGTGAAAATGTTCTTGGAGCTATTTTAAACTGGAGCTGTGATCCCCGATAACTGCTGCTGCTGAGCAATGAAAGTAAAGCAAACATTTAACACTTCCTACTCCAGTGGAATTCAACTTTGCTAACCTTTTGCAAATGTAATAACTTATATGTTAATAACTATGGGCATGGCTACACTTGCAGATGTAGAGCGCTTTGAGTTAAACCCGCCTTCGTAGAGGGCGGTAGGGAAAGCGCTGCAATCTGTCCACACTGACAGCTACAAGCGCACTGGCATGGCCACATTAGCAGCTCTTGCAATGGCCGCAGAGAGCAGTGCATTGTGGTAGCTATCCCAGCATACAAGTGACTGCAACGTGCTTTTCAAATGGGGTGGGGGTGGGGGTGGAGTGTGACAGGGAGTGTGTTGTGTGTATGTGGGGGGAGAGAGAGTGGGTTTTGAGGGGTGCTGAGAGCATGTCAGCATGCTGTCTTGTAAGTTCAGACAGCAGCAGACCCACCCTCCCCCTGCCTCCCTCTCTCACACACAGCGTTGCACAGTAATGGTTGCTTTGTCTCGGAGCAGATAAGCAGCCAGCTGTCAGAAACGCAGCTTTCAAAGGGCACATCCGCATTCCTGCAGTGAGTTCAAAACAATGACAAGAGTGGCCACTTGATTTAAGGGGATTATGGGATGTTTCCGGAGGCTGATCAGAGCGCAGTAATGCAACACCTCGTCCACACTGGTGCCGCAGCACCCCAGTGGGGGCGCAGCAGATGTTATTCCACTCGCCAAGATGGAGTACCAGCAGCGCTGTAGCCGCGGAGTCAGAGCGCTCTACGTGCCTTGCCAGTGTGGACAGGTAGTGAGCTAGTGCGCCCGGGGCTCCTGTATTGCGCTGTAACTCGCAAGTGTAGCCAAGCCCTGAATCTGGGATTTTCAGTGATGGCTCCTAAAGGAGTTAGATGCTCAAATCCCATTGAATTTCAATAAGTATGAGGGCCCACATCCTCATATTTTGGTGCGTCAACTCCCATTGAAATCAAAGCTGAAATCAATGGGAATTAGGAGTCTAAATACCTTTGAGGATCTGGGCCTTCATGCCTAATTTCCTTAGACTCCTTTGAAAATCCCGTGCTAAATATTATGGGGCAGATCCTCAGCAGTTAATTGTCAGACTCACTGAAGTCAATGAAGCGATAACAATTTACACCAGCTGAGGGTCCATCTATATATAGATACATCTAGATATACAAGCACGTTTGTAAATTCAAAAAACGATTAGCATTGCTGAGTGATGATTAAATGATTAAATCACATCATTCACAAATCTCAAGCACTTAAAATAAGGACATGGATAGTTAAGAATATTACAGATCTTATATATCCCACCTAAATAATTTTTTCTTTATTACAGTAATGTATATTCCACCACAACATGACAATCTGAACTCTGACCCAAAAGAAGTAATAGTCTTTTACCAGTAATCTCAACGCACAAACAAACACTGTGTGTCATTAATGTGAACATAGGTAACTTGCTTTTTTTCAAAAGGGTTTTGTGTTGTATCAACTATTCCCCACCCCACCCCTGCCAACCCACAGAGTGTGACCCAATAGTTGTGCTCTGGCAACCCATCTAAGATATGCAAACCACAAACTGAGAAACACCGACCTAGAAAATAGGTAAGAAGGAAAATCTGAATATTGTGTCTGTGGGGCAGTACTACTGTTAAACTGAAGTGGAACAGAGCCTCTGACAGACACTTCCTGCACAGGGCTCACTAAATGCAAATGGTGAAGCTATAGTCAAATTATGTTCTATATTTGCAAGTGTTATTAAGTTTCCTTAATCCTTTAGCTTGCTCTATACACACAGGGCCATATCTTGCACAGTGGTCTGATAATACTATACTGAACTAGTGGCACTATCCATAGGAGGTGTGGTGTATTGTGTGTTAAATTGGAAAAAGCTAGTGAGTTACACTATTTCATTGACATTTTCCTTGTGAAATACACTAACAACGTTCCAGGAAATCTAATCTAGAAAGAAAGTTGTAAGGTTTGCCTGCATATCACCTACATG